ATTCCAGTTTCGGTGTCGGAACCACGTTTCAAACTGAGGTCTCAGCGACGACATCCGTCATGAATGCGTATGCTAAGCGGCTCATTGGACAGTGGCAAGGTGTCGGAAGCCAGAGCAGCCGGCATGGATAATGGAGAGTTCGATAGCGTCATCCACTGAGCAACGAGGAATAATTATAATTGAGTTTAATGAAGGAACCACAAATCGCGACTCTAAGAAGTCCGTCAGGGGTCTCGGCCACCTGTAACCCCCAAAGCTTTCTAGCGAGGTTTAGCTCTGTAGTTCCGCTTGTGAATTTTGGTGTTGGACCTGAGAGGAGCTAGCAAGCCAACTGTGTAGTAGACGAAAAAAAACTAGACTCTCCCAAGACACCAGGTCACTGTATTGATGGATTTACCAGCCCATGTTGCTGAATTTCATCGCGCACTGCCCAAGCCATGATCATACTGAGCCTCCCTGATTGAGATCTCTATGGGTCCCCAAAGTCAGGATGCAACCATCAACGGCCGGCGAGGATAGAAATCGATTTGCTACCGAGGGTGACATGGTACGAGGCTCTAGGAATTCTTATGCGTGTGTATACGACGCTTGAACCTAGACGAGCACACACCTTGACACATCTGTATCTACAATCAGCAGGCTTAATGGATCTGTAGGCAAACTTGAGTACAACGGATCGGGCGCCCTTTGAGACACATGCTGACGTTGCCACCCTCAATCGCGTGGCTTGAGGCAGTGCAGTCATTGAAAGCAAGCAAAGCGCACCCGCTCCGCGGTACGTGACCCCCCGTGCGGGGCTGGAAGAGCGACCGGACCAGTCCCGGGGTCGTGGCCCGAAGCTCCGGAACCCGGCGCCGTGAAAAAAATCCATTTGCAGCACAACCCCTCATTTCATGATGGCGGTTTGAGTCCAGGGTTGGGAATCCCACAGCGAGCTTCGCCACACTGGACATGCCCGAATGCAGTGTTTTTTCAATACCCATGGGGCTGCGCCTCAATGCTTGCAATCGAATCCGGGCCTCAAATCATCGAACGAGCACAATGTCATGCTGTGCCGCCCACGCGTTGGCCCGCGCGTCGACAGCCGCACAGAATGATTGGACTTTCCCCGCGATAATGTTCATCCCTCGTGGCTATCTGCAGTCCGTTTATTAACTTCAGCAGGTATATATTGTGTCGGCTACCGATGGAAGCTTTGCCCTTGTACACTGTACCACCCGACCAAACAAGCTTTTTTAACCTTGTTAAGCTACTACAACCATAGACCTGTCATCATGGTATCCTTCCTAGGAAAGGTAACCGAGAAAGCCCGCTTGATCGAGCGCGATCTTCGAGCTGCTGCCACCAAACCACCGGCCGACAACACCGGAGCACCCCCCGCCTACAGTGTCGAGCCCAAAAACGATGCTGCCCCCTCTGCTATCGCTGTGGACCTGGCACCGGCTCTCGGTGAACTCAGTCTGAGCGGTGCCGCTGCTGGGAAACCCACGCCTGATGCCTGCCTCGCGCATCTGCGCCTGCTGTTTGCGTTCCAGGTGCTCAAGAACGAGGTGGGCTACACAGACGGCCTGTGGGAGATCTGGGATGAGCGAGCCAAGGGAAGCGCGCAGGTTCTGGCTGCGCTACGAGAGAAGCGATGGGCACTGTATGTTGCCCGGGCTGTTGACCGATATGGGGCGTGGTGGCAGAGCTTTGTGCCAGACATGCTTCTGGAAGCGGATCTCGTAACTCCTGGTGTGGTCGGAAGAACGTCAAGATATGTTGGATTTGTTCAAGAGGCCAAGCCGATGAAGTGGACGGAGGAAATGTTGCCGCCGCTAGGTAAGCTTGCTTTGATCTTGACCCTGGTTGCAGGAACTCAATCTTTGACCGAGTATTGCAGACGTGTTGATGGTATGGCATGCACACATGCTGAACCCGAGGCTTTATTTTGAGGTTTGTGGTTCCCTTGTCATTTCGTCTAACCACAATCGACTACTGACCTAGAGATCAGGACTGTCTCCGTTATGGACACGACTCCATCTGGGCAGGCGGCATGCCTTGGGATGTAGTCAACAAGGCTATTGACAGCCAGTTCAACTGGATTTCCACCGGAGATCGGCTTGCAAATTGGATCGCACGAACAGATGCCGCCTGGAAGAATCAGGATGACGCCGACATCAAGGAGCTGCGGTGCCCAGCCTGCCCTGCTACAGTTCAGATCCCTTGGACAACATGTGGTCTTCCTAAGGGTTACAACGGCACCAGGTACGTGAATATACAAAAGGACCATGGAAAATATCTGACACAAAGTTAGCCGCCCCGGAATTGCAGGCAGCGGCTACGGTGACGGGCAATTGGAAGCTAGGTGTAACGCTTGCAACTTTGTTGTCACGCACGACAGCCTTCGCGTCACCAAGCTGCTGAAAGACATTCAAAACGCGACTAAAAGCGGCACAGCAATGCCGGGAACTATCCTTGACCTGAAGACGGGGGTCCCTGCTATGATCAAGAACGACGAGAAAGACGAGCATTATCAGCTATTCCCGTCTCGACTGGCTTGTCATGGCCTTCTCATTGAAGTTCTCGGCATGATGGACCCCAAGAATGATAAGATACCCACCATGCTCGCCGTCAAGGATATCGTCGAAACTTATACCGGTAAATTCGCCGACTCATCAAAGCTCAAGCATGTCCAGGACAAACACGGCTTGAAGAAAGCCACAGAATTCAGATTGAGCTTGGAGGCAAGGCAGCAGACAAGGAGAATGATGTCAAGATACTGGCAAAATGCCTCGCCTTTTTCGATTGACTTGGCTGGGTGCGTGACAAGACAGAGTTTGTTTACGGAAAAGATGGTTACAGTGGGTCTTCTGGTGTGTCTTTTGTCAACGAGTGTTGTACTGATCTTCGCCCATCAGTTGAACTGGCTTCATCTGCCGACGGCAGAGCAGAGCCTGCTGAAGAATGTCACCAAGTACGAACGCTTCTTCGACATCATGGCCGCGAACCCAGGTGAGGCGGCTGTTCCTACATTGGATGTTGACCTCGCGTGGCATACCCACCAGCTTAGTCCGAAAGCGTACTACGAGTACTCAGTATCGATGACTCGAAACTTTGTGGACCATAACGACAAGGTTGATGAAGAGAAGCTTGGTGTGTCTTTTGAGTGGACGTCCAAAACGTACGAGAAGAAGTACAATGAGGTGTACGCAGAGTGCCGTTGCTGGTATTGCGAGAGTTTGTCTACCCCTTCCGATTTCTGTTCAATGTTATAAAAATGCAAAGTCTAACAAGCTTTAGCCGTACGCATGCAGTCCATCCCAAAGATTGCCAAGATGTTCGCCAGCTCGAAGGAAGAGAAGTGTAAGCATCGGGTGCCTGGTCCCCAGTCGCTTCACGACGCTAACGTACTCCACAAGCGAGTGGAACACACAAGCGAGTGAAACACTCCGTCGCGATTCCCCAACCACCTATCTTTCATCACCTTTCTACCCACAATTAAACATGGAGACTCCTTGCAAAGAAGCTCAATTGATTCTTGCTACCGAAGCTATCAAAAAAGATCCCAAGCTAAGCATTCGGAGCGCTGCGAAGATCTACAGCGTGAGCCATGTGACGCTAGGCCGACGACTGAAGGGAACTATCTCTCGACGCGACAGCCCTCCGAATTCGAGGACATTGACTTCCTTAGAGGAGCAGACAATTATTGAGAGTATTCTGGACCTGGATTCGCGATCATTTCCTCCCCGGCTTCGTGACGTGGAAGATATGGCCAATAGGCTGCTCGCCGACCGAGGCGCGCCACACGTCGGAGTCAACTGGGCTTCAAACTTCGTCAAGCGACAACCACAGCTAAAGACGCGTTTCTTTCGCAGATACGACTATAAGAGGGCCCAATGTGAAGATCCAGACGCGATAAACGCGTGGTTTCGCCTTGTACGGAATGTGGTTGCGAAGTACGGCATTGCGGCCGCAGATATTTACAACTTCGATGAGACCGGCTTTATGATGGGCGTTATCTCAACAGGAATGGTCGTCACAAGCTCGGAAAGGCGCTCAAATACGAAGCTCATACAACCTGGAAATCGACAATGGGTCACAGTGATCCAGGGGGTTAATTCCCAAGGCTGGTGCGTCCCGCCGTTTATCGTGGTCGCAGGCAAATATCACCTCTCGAGCTGGTACGAAGAAACATCCCTACCAAAGGATTGGGTTATCGCCACGACTGAAAACGGATGGACTACCAATAGAACAGGACTGGAATGGATTCGGCACTTCGATAAGTACACCAGGCCTCGCACAACAGGCACACATCGACTCCTCATTCTAGATGGACATGAAAGTCACCACTCGATCGAATTCGACGCCTACTGCAAGGAAAACAACATTATCGCGCTCTGTATGCCGCCTCATTCATCTCATTTACTCCAGCCTCTCGATATTGGCTGCTTTGGCCCGCTTAAGCAGGCGTACGGTCGGCAAATCGAGAAGAAGATGCGGGCGGGTATAAGCCATATCACCAAGGAAGACTTCTTCCCTGCGTTTCTTACAGCATCCCAAGAGGTAATGACGGAGAAGAACATCCAAGGGGCCTTTAGGGGAGCTGGACTCGTTCCTCATAACCCGGAAGCAGTCCTTTCGAAGCTGGATGTGAAGTTACATACCCCAACGCCTCCAGGGAGCAGTGGAGGGATACCCGAACCTTGGGTCTCGAGGACGCCCAACAATCCGATTGAGACGACTTCGCAGTCTGAGTACATCAAAAATCGGATTGCCCGTCATCAAGATAGCTCACCAACGTCTATTCTCGGCGCCGTTGACCACTTAGCAAAGGGAACGCGGAGTATCATGCATAAACTCACCCTCGTACAGTCCGAGGTCCAGCTCATACGAGGGGAGCTAGAGACCCTAAGCAAGCGTCGCAGAGCGAAGAAAAAGCGTCTCAGGCAAGGGGGAAGCATGTCTATAGCCGAAGCAGAGGACATTCAAGCCCAGAATGAGGTAGACGTCCAGATGAAGCAGGAAACGCAGCTGAGTAGGGGTCGTAAGCAGGGTATAGAATTGGCCCCTCGACGCTGTGGAACATGCGGCAAGGCAGGACATAACTCAAGGACCTGTCAGATCATTGTAGCTATATCAGATGATGATAACACCGATTGATTTAGTTAATTCAAGTCGTCGTGGTTGAGATATCTGGGGTTTTATTTGTGCGGTCGTGGTTGAGTGTTTCACTCGCTTGTGTGTTCCACTCGCTTGTGGAGTACGTTAGCTCCTTCTGCTCTCTACCCTGTTTTCTGACACGATTTTCTTCAGTTTTGGAGTCCTACCACGCATCTGGCAACTCCTCGAAGCACCCCTTGCCGCCGAACACTCCGTCAGCGCACATCTCCACCCACAATGCCGTCCACACTGTCGAGACCAAGTCCCGCAGTGCCACAACGCGCATGCAGCGTATGCTCTTCCGCAACGGCATCGACGAGTATGAGATCAAGGCCCGCAAGAAGGCCACAAAACCTCTCCCCACAGGCGAGCCACGCATGGGGCAACGTGAGGACACGGCTCTGAAGTGGGGTGTGAGGGTGCCGCTTGCGGGTCCCTGGGTCAGTATCGCCGCTGCGACGACGACGGCAGCCATGTACGCAACGCCGCCAGGAGAAGTATACACTGGGCCCGGGTCAGTGGGGAGCTGCGCGTCGGGGACGTGCGGCGGTCACAGCGGGTGCGGGAGCGAGACGCTGGGCATGTGCTCCGCGGGGTGTGTCGGGGTAAGTTCCCTCTTTCGGCTGTCTGCCCGTCGGATGTGTTACCCACGATTGAGGGTCAAATGCTGATGTGAATTTGCTTTTGATTGTAGTCTGGCTGGTTTGGCGGCGGTGCAGGATGCACAGGGTTTGGGGGTGGCGTCTAAAGTCATGCTGAGATAATGTTTGCGTACGAGAATGGTCTCAATCCCTAATGCAATTGAGGCTGGGCTCGAATGAGTATTTTTCCTCCCTGTTTCGGCATTTGGCATGGGAGCAATATTGCCGTTTTTATAGGTGGCATAGTTATGAACAGAATTTGGCACCGGCTATTGGTGGTAGGCCGTCTTCCTCGGGTTGAGCTTTTCGAAATAACCTATAGTATTTTCATCTTTCAAAGCATCACTTTTCATTGAGCGTACCAACATATTGATTAACAGGGATTGAATCCGAATCACCATATATGCAACTCCGGGCTTTCGTATCTACGCATCGGTGACAAGTATGGGTGCATGTGTTCATCAGTCGCCAGCGATCCATATGCCTTCCACAGATCCGACATCAACCATACTGGTTTCAAATCATCTCTAGTGGCGTGGCTGACGTGTATCCCGGTCTCTCAAAGACCGGTTCTCATCTGTCAAGTCAACGCACTACCCTGCCGGAAGAACACGGGGCAGTGCGCTTGCGAAACAAGATAATCATCCTGACACGAAGCTTTGCGTGTCTTGGCATCCTTGGCCCCAAGCAAAACCAGAGGAGCCTCAAGTCTTGGAGCAAGCCCACTTGGCTGCGCCAATGCGGCAAGCACGGCGGCGCGCCCGACGTGTGAATGACATGGTAGTGATAGCTTATCTAGATGGCAATAGGGCCAAGGATGTTCATAAGCGAGCCAGATTTCACAATGCTGGAATGGCCAAACCCGGAGGAGAAGTTCAGCACAGAGCTGATGCCGCTCCACAGGGGGCCTTAATGGGGTCGTTGTGGATCTTCACGAATTTTGACACTTACAAGTTGCTTGGTGAACACTTGGCTCGATTCGGGGAGCTTGTTTCTCCCCTCTGTGAAAAGTAGTCTCGTCCGCTCGCCCGCATGTTTGCCCGTCCTGTCCAGTGGATCGCGGTGTTCGTTGCGCTTTTCCTTCATCTACCGCGTCATTTCTGAGATGACACTGACGTCGCTTGTAGGCCGGGCTTACAGTGTGTATGCAGACTTCAAGTGAGTTCAGGCAGGCTTGTGCAGGTGTTTTAACTCTGTGCCATCAAGGCGCTGCTTCCTCCAACATGTATCATCCTGTACCACAGTACCAACCCAGTTTTCATTGGGCAGCTTAGTGCAGGGGTCAGGCAATGAATGTTCAACGCTACGAATAAGGCCACAAATAGGATGGGAGGATGACATGCGTAATCGGTTGCCTGTATGTTTGTACATCCCGTAGTCTTCGCACCCCCTGTTCCGGAGATATTAGATGAAGTACAAGCTACAAAGTTCACACCACTAGAAAAGGATTCCGATCCGTGAGGGGCTAGCTACCCAATTAATGGCAACCTCGCGATGTAACAAGGTTTGTGGGGTGAACGGTCTTCGTGCCGCCCTCGTGGGGAATGGAAAAGGAAGCACGAGCGGTAGGGCGGAGAATCAGGGGCGAATCACACTTAAACATATGCTATAAAATGCAGTAGATGATCACAGCGGTCGTCGAAGCTCGTGGTTCATTTCCAGCTTTCCACTGTATCCTCCTGCTCTCCCGCGCCATCCTCTGCCGTGCACCTCCCTTTGTCCTCAGCAGTAGGCCAAACCGAAAGAGAGAGTATTCCATGGCGACCAATCAACCCAGCGTCGAGCAGAATTCAGCTCCTTTGACCGAGGCAGAAAAGCAAAGCATGCTCAAGATGGAGCACGCCGAGAACAATGAACTCGATACAAAGCTTCAGACAGTACACAATGACCCAATATTCAGCGACCCTGATTACCAAGCGAAGGAAAAGAAGATGGTCCGTACGCTGGACTTGACTCTGCTTCCAATGCTCTGGATCTTGTACCTTTTCAACTACCTTGACCGAACAAATGTTGCGTGAGTAGGGAGCAGTCCCGGGGCCCTTATGCGAGCATACAAGACTGATTCAAACCTTAGACAGGCCAGGTTGAACACCTTCGAGGCGGATCTTGGAATCAATGGCAGCCACTACAGTACTGCCGTCGCTGTCCTAACAGCAGGGTAAGTTTATATGCCTTACAATACAGACCAAGCCACTGACTGATGTGCTCCAGCTATATGGTTGCACAACTGCCATCAAACATGTTGATTACTAGGGTCCGCCCAGGCGTCTACCTACCGTGCTGCGCACTGCTTTGGTCCGGAGTCTCTGCTTCAACAGCTGCAGCCAACGACTTTGGCTCGCTTATTGCTGTTAGGTTCATACTGGGCATTGTCGAAGCTCCTCTCTTCCCTGGTGTAAGCACAGTAGCCTCAACATGCACTTCGAAAGGTATCGAAACTGAGAATATTTAGGCCGTGTACCTCATGTCCAGCTGGTATACCCGTTCTGAACTTGCCTTGCGTACGGCCATCCTATATTCTGGTTTGGTTCTTGCCCAAGCCATCTCGGGTCTCATCGCTGCTGGAGTTTTCTCTGGTCTACACGGTGCCCAGGGCCTTGCTGGCTGGCAATGGCTGTTTATCATTGAAGGCGCCATCGGTGGCGCTCTTGCGCTGCTCGCCTTTTTCATGCTGCCAGACTATCCTCACTCGAAGACAGGCTCCGCTGCCAAGTGGAGCATGTCCGAAGAACTCCGTCACCTTGCGGCAGTCCGCATGGCTGCCGACCGAGTATCAACTGCTGAGGAGGAGCAGACTGTATGGAATGGCCTCAAACTTGCCGTCACTGACTACAAGACTTGGGTCTTCGTGAGTAGTCCCTGCTTCTTCTTACTTCGATTGCATGAGCCTGTAGCTGACCATATTTTCAGGTCGTCACCAACATTTGCATGACCTCGAGCTACGGCTTCAACAATTTCTTCCCCACCATCGTCAGTGGTTTCGGCATCGGCTCACGCACAGTTTCTCTACTTATGACAGCGCCGCCCTATATTGTCGGTGCCATCATGTCCTTCGTCGTAGCGTTTAGCTCCGACCGTCGAAAGGAGCGCGGCTACCATATCAGCGCCAACGTCGCCATGGCCATTGTTGGATTCATCATCTCTGTTTCGACGATTAACGCTCCTGCTCGCTACGTCGCGTCATTCCTTTACACTACCGGCTCTTTCTCTGCGAATGCATTGGTTTATACATGGGCTGTCTCGACACTTTCGCAGACGCCCGAGAAGCGCGCTGCTGCTGGTGCTATTGTGAACATCATGGGCCACATTGGTAACATTATCTCGCCTTATTTCTTCGTTGATTCGCACGCACCTAGGTATACGATGGCCATGATTTTGATGATGAGCTTCGGAGCTTGCACAATCGTCTTGGCGAACGTTCTGAAGTGGCTCCTGCGCAAGGAGAACAGGAAGCTGTTGGTTGAAAGTGAGGCTGCTGGCCGTGTCTACAACCCGTACACTACCTAAGCAGACTATCCGAGAGACATCAGTACAGCAACAATCAATGACATTCATTTCGCATCGTAAAATGCACATGGACCACTGTGATCACCTTTTATTGTAAACGATGATTGAGTTAGCCCGCAAAGGTACAAAGAGCTGAGCTTCCTCAGGCTCATAAACTTGCATACGTTTCCCCCTTGACCTTCACTACAGACAGCACGGAACTACTCCACAGCCTGCCATATATCCTTGAGATAGCTTGCTTCGGCAACGCCTCCCCTCGCCTGCGCAAACCCTGCCTGACCTTTGTTCCACGCCTCGGCGCTGTCGACCCCATACTGCGACGAGTGGTATCCCACGCTGCTGTTGCCGTATTCATATCCAGTAGGAGTGACCCAGTCGCTCATGGCATTCGCATGCTGGTATGACATGCTGAGCATCATGTTCGACATGGCCATTGCTGACTGCATGCTTTGCATTTCATAGATCATCTTGAACCTCGGCACGGTCTGCTGATAAGTCTCCCAGCGCTTTCGGCAAAACGCACGCAGTTCCGTCGCGTCTCCCGCCTCGCAGGCTTCTCTGTACTTGCCCCTCATGCGATCCGAGTACATGCAACAAAGCGTCTCCCCCTCGATGAGAGCGTCATGCAGCTCCATGCTGGCAGCCAGAGAGGTTCCTTCGACGGCTGTTTCATAGCATTCTGGGCATATGGTGCAGTCCTGCCAGCCATACCACTTGCTCTTCGCCGCCAGATTGAAGTTCGGACAGACCGGCAGCGCGGCGTAATTCTTCACCCACGTCTCGTAGGCACCCCAGTAGCCTGTCTCCGAGGCTTGCTGCCAACGATCGACGAGGCCATTGAAGCGTGCTACACTGGGGTTGAAAGCGCACCACGCTGTACCGGCGACGAGCTGTGGCTCAGACCCAAAAAATGCCTCGACGCCGTGCTGCACGAGGATGCCTGCATGGCATGCCTCACACACGCCAAAATTTGCTGCGCTGCCGCTCTTGAAGTTATAAAACTTGCCGTCGGTGATTCCTGTGCCCTTGAAGCAGCGCGGGCTTGAAGCAATCTTGGCCGCTGCCTGGAGGATGACTTGAACACGCAGGCCCTTGGTTCTTGCCAGGTAGACGCATTCGCCGAGGTTGATGAGTTGCAGGTCACAGGCGCGCATGCAGAGCTTCTCCTCTACGCCCTCTGCCGTATCCGCAAAGTCGTCGGCGTAGGGTGTCATGGCGAGCTGATCTAGGTAGCACGTCTCGCAAAAGTCGAGGTTTGCTACTGATTGCTTCGGACGATACCAGTTACATTGTAAGGCGTTGATGTCCTTGCCCTCGCAAGCTGGCAGTGTCATGCGCTTCTTCGCTGCTTCGACAAATTCCGCCCAAGCGGTATCCTGGTCCCTTCGCCTCGATAGTATCTGCAAAGCACGGCTGACATAGGAGTAGCTGATGGTGCAGGTCCATCGCTCCGACGCGCCCTGGACTTGCTTCAGAGGACAGAAGCGGCCGGCGAACGCCGTGCCGAGAACGATGTCCTCGTGACAGGCCTCGCAGGCCACCATGCCGAGCTCGCCAGCGGCTAGGCCAAACCATTTGACCCCATCCGTGCCGACAGCCCCTGCAGCCTTGGTGCAGGCAGGGACAGAGGGACGGCGAGATATGTAATCCCGTAATAACCCCAAATTTGCCGTCTGCTTAGCTTCTGGCCAGAGGCTCTTCGTTATTCGCGGGACGTTGAAGCGGCACATCAACCCGGACTTGATCTCACTGTCGAATTCGTGGGTCAACTGTGAAGAACCGATATACGTGTTGAAGCACCAGCTACAGATGCCAAAATCGGCACAGCCTCTGAGATGATGCCAGGTTGTTTGATAGTTGACAACACGGGTCTGGGGGCAGACGCGAAGAGGTGAGCTTGGGGTGTTCGTTGTGGTGACCGGCGTCGCAAATGCGAGGGGTTCATACGTAGGGTCCTCAATCTCCATGCCATATCCTTGGGGCGTTATAGAAGCAGGCTGGTCCGCTAGCTGGATTTGAGACACAGCTGAAATGAGCTTCGACATGAAACCTTTCTTCTTCGGAATCGGTGGAGGAGCTGGCGCCACAGGCTCCGAGAGTCTCACAGCCTCTTGGGAATATGCCGCACCAAACAGAGGTGGAGGAACCAGGCTACTGTCGCCGGGGTTTGAGACTGGCAGGGAGTAAGGTTGGGTGGTTGATGACTGTGGATTCCAATGTGGCTCTCGCTGGTCGATACTTGAAGCTGGAGCGTCGTAGACCTGCGGCAAGAATGGTAATGCAAAAGCTGGCTTTGGAATTGGCGCTGTGATAGGCACAGGTAACGACTCTTGATATGACGCCGGGGCTGGTATCAAAATTGCGGTAGGGGTTGAGTCTTGGATCGCCGGCGGTGGTGCTGGCGCAATAGTGGTAGCTGGAGATGATACTGCTACTGGTGGCGTGGCTGATGCAGATGTTGCCGCTGGCTCTTGTGGCAAGATTGGCGCTGCGATGGGGATCGATGGCGGCGCATAAAGCTCGACAGGCTCTTGGTTAATTGCAGAAGCGTCGACGTGCAGTGGCTTGTATTCTGGAACATGAGGAGTAGGCGGCAATTCCGCAGGGGCCTCACTTGGCACGGAGCCAGGGAGATCTTCGACGACATACCGATCATTACCGTCAGGACCGGGAATGAAACGTATTGCCTTCTTTCTCTCGTGGTCGATAGAGAGAATGTAACCTTGAGATCGGTCCGCTGCCTTGGCTGGCAGGATCGACGTGACAGGAGAGACTGCCTGGGAGATAGGCCGTCGGCCAGAGTCCTGGCGTTGAACGGCACCGACGGGTTTTCGGGTGATTGGAGCTGGGGAAGTTGAACCCGCTGGACTGCTGATGGCTGGATTGTGGGATGGAGACACTGTCGCAGACGATTCCGATTGATGTTGGATCGGCGGGCTGGAGGGGGTGGTCTGGTACCGCTGAGCAGGCGAACCGCTTAGTGGCGAGACTGATAATTTTGGGCTTGGTGAAGGATATGCAGGGATTGAGGCGTGATGTTGAACTGGCGACGGGATAAATGGGATTTCATGGTGTTGTTGAGTGACGGAGTTCTGCGTGGACGGATGAGTGACGGGCACCGATTGATGCTGAACTGGCAAGGTATACACTGCTGGTGTAGTCATCTGTTCGGACGGTGGGTTGTAAGGTGCCAGCGCCGGCTGTTGGTAATGACTGGCTTGGGCCAGGTTGTGAGGGGTTGCAGGGCTGTACGCAGCCGCAGTCGACTGATGTTGGGCATTTAGGGGAGCAGTTGACGCACTATAAGGTTGCGGCTGCTGCTGTTGCTGCATGGGAGCGTTAGGAGCCCTGACATGGGCAGGGCTCCACGGCTGAGGGGTTTGATTTTCCGCGCTGGGGGGCTTTATCGTCGATATGTTGTAGTTCGATGAGGGAGGGCTCGAGTATCTCGCACTCATGCCCTTGGCCGCTGTGTATGCGTTTTCCAGCTCCTTGATGCTTCCCTTGACGAGCGAGCTCTTTGCGACTTCCGTCAGGTGGGGCGAAACATTCTTCTTCAGCCATGCTGTTGTTTTCTTCCCAGAAAACGAGGACAGGGACATTCGCTGTTGATTTGGCGGCCGCTGTGGCGGCTGTTGTTGCTGCTGTTGCTGCGGGGGTAGGCTATAACCCTGCTGTCCGTATGATCCGTGATCGGCCTGATGATATTGATGATGAGCAGGAGATTGCCATTGGGCCGATGGCTGCCATGCTTGAGCGGGTTGAGCGTATGTATGATGATTAGACGCGACACTCGGAGCTGCTGGCGCCTGACCGGGCACTGGCAGTGATGTTGATCCTGGAGGGGCCGAGTACGAAGCCGGCGGGGGTGGGAAATACGAGTGGGCTTGTTGAGGAGCCGCTGGAGGCAGCCCTCTTCCGAAGTTGTCCTGGGCAGGCATGGGCTGGTGAATTGACGACGGAACGGAATTGGCTCTACTGAGTGAAGCATCGTGCAGACCATGGGGCGTTGACTGTCCTGCTCCCTGCTGTTCAAGCTGGCGGTAAGGGCTGGGAGGGGGCGGAGGGTATTGATGACCCGAAGGCGTAGAGTAGTGATCCATCGGAGAACGTCCCTCGGCAATATGCTGGCTCGTCAAAGTGAGGTAATCGTAAAGGCAAGCAAGGTCCAAAAGACGAGTCGTTCAGCAAGGCGATTTCAAAACACCATTGGCGCCTTGTCGGAATAAGTACGTATTGTCAATGAGGGGCACACATCCCCACTGGCCTGAAATAAGCAGACATTGCCGACAGAGATGATTGCGCTCTGGTAGTACGGATGCCTGTTCCCCCGCTGACAGCCTACGTGAGGCATACTGTGATGGCCGAGCCTCTGGTGGCTGCATGGAGGTGCAGGGTGATGCCTAGCCATCTTCAAGCCATTTGCCATGACGGCGAATCAAGGGTGAGGAGCGTCAGGCCAAGCATTCAGACCCCTGGGAGAGCTGTTCAGCTGCGGTATCCTTTGAGCCTGGACGGCGATGCAGGCAGCCCAAAATATACTAGATCATGCGCCACGGCAACGTTGGACAACAGGGGTCCTGCTGGCATTTGCTGAAAGAGCAGAAGGTCCTGTCCCAGTGTCTTTCTTGTGTTTAACGCGAAATGTTGATTCTTCTTTAAGCAAACTGCCTACCACTCCAGTCTATCATCGCACTCAAGAGCAACGTCAAACCTCGCATCTCCCCTCCAGACCTTGCTTCCTGAGTTGCAGGACGCCACCACAGTTCGCAACTGAGAGATCAGGGAACCAGGCCCGCTGGCAAAGACAACCGTCCGCCCGCGAATTGTTCCCTCCACAAAGGCTGACACAATGACATCCAAATCAGGGTGAGTTCCAGTCATTTGCAGATCGAGCGAAGCGCTGTTTCGCGAGGAAGACGAAGATGAAGATAAGGTCGCGTCAGCCGCCTGCTTCTCTGCTTCTGGGCTGAGGCCTTCAGACCCCAGATCTGCCTCTCCTTGCCTCGTCACGCGGACGTGGATCTGGATACCATGCGACTTGGGCGCCGCGAGAAGGACTTCTAATTCAGGCTGCACCCACTGCACGTCTTGGCGGCGGCGGACCGCCCAGACAAGCTCAATCTTTCTGTCAGGAGTGCCTGGCTGTTGGGCGAGGTGCAACAGAACGGGAAGCACATAGGAGATGCCCGTCCCGCCAGCAACGCAGAGGACGTTGACTTCGGGCGTTAGGTTCTCGACGAGGGACTCGCCGTACACGCCAGAAAGGATCACAGGCGTCGTCTTGGCAGATCCATCCTGCACGGCAAGCTTCCGGCCAGCGAGGCTTGCGATCTTCTTGGTCTCACCCTTTTTGGCGCGGAATATGTAAGCGTGTTCTACGGTGCCATTTTGGTCTATAGCGAGGCTGAGGGGCGTAAAGGGGTGGGACTGCCAGATGGAGGACTCGGAGAAACAGAGGTAGAAGTGCTGACCCGGCTGCCAGGGACTTTGCGAGTGCCTGAAATCAAGGCGTACAATGTCGCCATTGTCTGGGTCAGGGAAGACGGAGAGCACAGCTTGGGCAGCTTGGAAGCCCATAGTTCCGTTGGGTAGGTACTGGTAGTGGACGAGGGCAGACCGAGCGAGACGGGCAAAGCGATCGAACAGCCAGATGGCGAGGCCGGGAACCACTGTAGGTAGTATTGTCAGCGATCATGCTCGAAAGAAGGCCGGTGCAGCCGCAAAACATACTGAAGACCTTCAAAGGCTGCCAATGACCCCAGCAGGCACCTATATACACCATGGCAAGCACGTAGTGCGACTTTCGGAAGAACTCGTACCCTGTGAGGCGGATACCCCACGGAGTGCTCAGAACAACCAAGATGAAAATCAGGATCATGGCGACGCAACCCCAGATCATATATAGCTGCTTGATCCATTTATTAGCGACAGCAGGCTGGGGTTGGTACAGGACCGCCTCAATGACGGTCCAGCCGATGGTGTGCGCTAGAGACTGTGCGAAAATGATACATCCGAGCCACCTGTGAAGAAAGTTGAAGTTCTGGTAAGGAATTCCAGTGAGGATCGAGAGTATCGACTCGCGACTTGATAGTAGAATCGAAAATGGCGTTAAAGCGTACGCGAGAGTGCCGACTCGATCAGACCATGCACCAACGCTGGATCGCGTCTGGAACAGCCCCGGGTGAGCCTTGACCGGCGTTCTCCATGTCTGGTAGTGAATTCCCATGAAGCTGAAGAGCGCCAGGTAGCCAGTCAGTGCAACAAGGATGAGCACCTGCAGGCGAGTGGTCCTGCCAAATATGAACCTGATTGAATCAGGAAGAAAATTCCGGCGCCGCATCGCAGAAATTGACCTGGCCAACCGGATGACGGATGACGGAGGTGTTTTGTTCTTTTCGTCGTCGGCGGCAACGCCTGGCATGGTTTCGGCGGCTTTGGGTAACGCGCAGAAATGGCGACCGACGGCGAGAATAAGAAGAATGCCGCCCAGCGTGGCCCAAAGCACCCCGGTGTACTTCATGCCGACGGCGTGAGAGCCGTAGACAACTTCAAAGTACTCGCATGTTCCAGGATCGTTGGTGCAGGGCAAAACCCGAACGGCATAGCCCCAATAGTTGACCAGAGATCCTTCGCTGATGTTCTGAGACTGGTAGCCTTGGCGAGCCACCAGCTGCGATGAGGACTTCATCATTTTCCTTGTCTTTGATGATGGCCTTTCGTTGTCGAGTTGTTGTGTCCGAAAGCAAAAGAAGGTACAAATGGTGCAGTCGGGAGACTCTGCTATCTCAAGAGGAACAAGAGATGGCGTCAATGGTTAATGTAAACGTCGTTCCAGCCGACATAGGACAAAGTTCGGCTGCATATATGGGCGAAGAGACTGCCGAACATGCTCACCAGAGGCCCAGGCCTACATGGCTGGTTCAAGTACGCTATTCAGACCCGAAGAACCTTTAATGCTGCAGACTGTGTCCCCTCACCTATGGGCGGTTTCGTCGGGGATGGACTTGGTGAGCAAGTTGGTGGATCGTCGAGATCGAGGCAATACATGGCTCGCCCAAGATGTAGCATGACTCAAGTCAAGAGCAAGTTTCCGAGCCCCTACTTGCCATACTGACAAGGGAAACAGCCCACCCTTTCATCTTCGAAGTACCGCTCGACGGGTCACTGGCGCGTTTGGAACCCGAATCCCAAGCATTCGGCAGGCCCGACATCCGGAACATGGCATGTGCGCCATGTGCCATCGCCAAACGAGCCAATGTCGTGAACTGTCATTGAAAAATATCCACGTTGTTGAGCGCCGATCTTCCGTCATCCCTGGCCGCGGGTCTAAAATGAGCTCTATTGAGCAAGTTTCGATTGGCGCGCGACGGCCCCACGGCTTGGTATTCAGCGATAACTTTTCCTTCGTCTACCATTCAGGGTTCCATTTCCTGCACGTCAAGCTTGTTCTGGGCTCCGCATAACTAGTATTCAGAAGGTTTGTATGCTTGGTAACGCCACTGTCATGATGCCGGGTCGGCATGTGGGAAATCTGCCGACGGAAGGCGAGTGGCTTGATATAGGCCAGGCCGTTCACCAGGTCTTCCAAGGGAAGGTAACCATTTTTGCGGCATCTCACCATTCTCTCAGCGACCTCTAGCCTCATCTTTTGTATTCGACAGCGGTCCTAGCACTCAAGTCTCGATCGCAGCTGTCGAATTTTCTAGGCCACAAGATTAATGCCATAAACACCGTCCATCATGAATCACGGCACTGCGGAAGGCTCGGCCTGTAAGGTCTCGGTATTGCCTTCTACCTGTTACTTCTCCCACATTCGAAGACTTGCGTACTGACAGGAGAGTTCCAGATGCTGTGGAACTGGGACACTGTTGACGCTTGTAAGTGAACGACCTTCGCATCCTACGGCTGCCAACTCCGTTCTCTGACAGTCTTTGCCACAGGTTTCCTTGCCGAATCCTGGCAGATCGAGAATAATGGAATGATGGCCGCATCCTGTGTCGGCGTCGCCCTCCTCGTCGTGGTTCTTGAATGCCTTCGGCGACTAGGCAAAGAATATGACGGGATGATCATCCATCAGGTACAGCGTCGCGCTGCGTATTTGTCAACCGATCACAAAAGTCCAAGAGAGAGCGCCGGCTGCTGCGCTCCACCAGACTCAGTCGCCATTATGCCACCGCGCATGCTCACATTCAGAGCGTCCCCATTACAGCAGGTCGTGAGAGCTGTCGTTCACGCTGTGACGTTTGGTGTTGCATACATTGTCATGCTCCTCGCCATGTACTTCAATGGATATATCATTTTCTCCATCATCATCGGAGCAGGCTTAGGCAAGTTTCTTTGTGACTGGCTGGTTATCAGAGTGCAGGTTGGTGGCGGCGGCAGGGCTGGAGAAGAAGCGACTGGCATCGATGAGACGACCGTGTGTTGCAGCTAGGCAAACCAAAAGGATTAAAAGATGGACATGGAATTTCCGGTCATTTTGGGAAGCCTTTTTGCCTCTGCTACTGCTCTGATTAAACAATAAAGCCAATGGTCTGTCACCGAGGAGTGTGCCGTCTTGATAAAACCTGCCTTGGGAGCACAGGGATACGCCGCTGCATCGGCCACACCATCGTCTGGGCCTGTGGCCACAATCCACTAACAAGCCCAGGAGTGAAGATGTTGCAAATAGGCTGCCGAAGATCCTACAGGCAAAACCTGAATGCTGTCTTCATGCATCCTACAGCAGGTATTGAGGCTGCACCTCGATGCGAGGATGCCATCTGTTTTCGACAGAAATCAACGTCCCCGAAAGTACAGCCCAACGATGGATACATCGCTCCTAGTCTTTCGGACCGTGAATGACAAGCATTCTTCTTTATCTCAATTTAAGGATCGACCGAGTCGCCAACAATGTCTGCAGCAGACACTTTTCGTGAGCTCACCCACCACACCTTTGCCACATGGCCAATGCCAGTGGACAAGATTACCGAATCAGGCAGTTCTATTAATGGAGTTTCGGGCGCCAAGGCGGCCGATGCCGCCCCCACCTCTCGCGTCATGTTGCGCATCTTTCACCAATGGAAGCCGACACGATGCCTCAACTGGAACACCTAAGAATCGGATCATCGCAGCGAATCATTGCATCACATCGCTAAATCGATTTCATATCTGAATACCAGTTGCCACTGGAACATGCACGATGGTTCATGGTTCACCTGAGGGAGGGGGTGCTGCCGCTGCTTGCACTCCAAGTCAATGGGGTTGGAATCTCGAGAGTCGCATCATCAGCACCATGCTTGAGTTCAGGAAAATGGCACAACGAGCAAGGAGATGAGCATCCTGGAACGATAGATAAACAAGACACAATTTAAATGTGAGCTAACAGCACTGTAGATCTCAGGTGCATGATATATGATAGTCACAGGCGATGGCCGAAGCCAGTTGGGGGCAGATCGTTGATTGCTGGGGAACCATTTGCAAGTGGGACGGGCCTCAGCACTGTCGAAGCTGCACACGCACAAAAGTTCCCAAGTGGTCATCGAGGATCATCGCAACAGGCTCTGGGAAGCCCCCCACTCGGAATCCTACACAACCTTAAAAAAGAACATTGCCTCCCTCAACGGGAGGATTGATCCTACGCAGTACTTGAAGTAATGATGAGCGTCACCAAACATGAGGATTCATCCTCATCAACGCCACATAATCACCTCTACCTACAAGCGTCATCATCCTGTCGGGTCCAGGCCCAACCTTCTCAGCGGGTGTGGCGTCGGACCCCTGAAGCTATCTATTAAAGCTGATGCAAGAAATCGTGTATATTACCTGTTTTGGGTGTGATCTGAGTATCCTCTCATGTCTAATTATTATATGCTATTCTGAGATCACAGCATCGGATGCAATTATGGCTCAGGGCATCGGGGGGGTGATCGGCCGAACCTGGCAGGATGGATGGAGATGGCCAATCGTCGATTCATTTCCTCACACATGTCCCTTTCAAGTTACTTGTTGACTAGCTGCAAATTTTCAGGCTAAGGAATCAACTGAGGAGGTTCTCAAGATCGAGACTCTATATAATGATGGCTTCGCTTCTCGATTGAGAGCGTATTCACCGACAGCGCCTTAAAATCAAAACCTAAGCAACTTTTGCTTCTGCCCCATTACTTCAAATTCATTCCTATTTCTCTCACCAACGTCTTACAAGCCGACTCAAGCAGCCCGCGCAGAGGGACAGTCATTGTTATCTATACAATGGGCAACTACAGATCCGCACTCCTCCTTTCTATCCTCGCCGCGTCCACCGTTCAAGCTAGCTTTTGGACACCACCCAAGGGCCACAGCCCCCCTGATTGCGAGACGACTACCACTTTTGCAACTCTTACCGTCACAAGCTCAGAGATTGCTGGTCCTACTGCTGGGCCCACTGGCGGGCCCATACCCCCTATCCCAGAGCACTCCAGTGCGATCGAGGAGCCTGTCTACCCGCAGCCCTCAGTCGTTGATCCCACCAGCCCTTGTCCTTCGGATCAGCCAGGCAAGCCCGGAAAGCCCGAGAAGCCGCACAAGCCGGGGAAACCCTAGGACGGCAACAAGCCGTGGCGAGGCGACAAGCCATGGAGGGGCGACAAGCCTTGGAAGCACCACAACAGGCCAGGAAACAATCGGCAGGATGGTCGTTATGATTAAAAGGCCACGTGGTAGCGGAGCGGACTGTTGCTACCAGGATGTTCCAACATTGAGCGATGATGTTTGGCAACTCTTTGTATAACTTGATTCATAGTCAAACGTTGAATAGTTGCATTACTAGAAACATGACGTACACAATAGTATCGACCTAGATGATGAAAACTATGCATGCTCGCCCAGCTTTTTTCGAACAGTGTATTGGAGTATCAAGTTAGCCGTCGTCCAAGCAGGTCACTGTGGAGACGCAGGCAAACTACGGATGACCATTATGTTCAAGAACCTGGGTACCTATCCAAAACTTGCCGGTACTTGCAAGCTCTCTCATCGCCCCTAGATGGCGACTTTGTGATCGAGCCTGTTTCAAGTACCCGTTAGTGCAAGTCTATGTGTGTCGTTCACGGAGGCAGCAAAATGGTCGTTTCCACGCCCCCTTATGGGATTGCCTGTTGAGCAGGAAGCCACATCCCATTCGCATCATGCTCTGGCACTCGCTTTGATGAGAATCACTCACGCGATGGAACAGCGTCCCGGACTTTGCCGCACAGCGGCAGTCCACATCCCTTTCACAAGGGAAGTACTACCATCGTGGCTAAATCGCAAGATTTAGGAGCTGCGTCCACAGGTATCACGCTGCATAGATGCTGGTTGAGCAAGCGTTGGGTCATTCAAGCTTCACTGATGAGCACAATGCCCAGCCAGGGCTAGAGACCTATCGCCCGGCGAGTGTTACCTTGCAATTTCAGACCAGCTTGTTCCGTTCGCCCACAGTATCGAACAAATTTGCTCAGGCACGAGCAGTGTACACTTCCACAACGGGCACATGTTTCCACCTGCCTACCTGAGTTGTGATACGATTGCCGCAGATCCGCAGTACCCAGTCACGGGCCACGCGTCAAATGCATCTGATATTGGTAGGAATACTTGACATGGTCAAGAACACCCATATCAGGATGCATCGAGTCATGGCCGGCAGGTCTGTGACAAAAGCTCAAGAGCGAACCACATAATTGTTTAGACTATCGGGCGTATGGTCAAGGGATCGCCGCGTTGTCGAATTGAGGTTGTGCTTTTAGAGAATAGAGCATTGTTGCACAGCAGTGTTGCGTCGAATGTCAAAGCCAATGGGCTCATTCATGCTTAGTGCAGGAAATGAGGATGAAGAAGAGAGTTTCGGCAATCTCAAGATTTCGTCGATCGCTTCCAGCGTGCACTGCCTTAGGCTAGCAGCGTGGTGCTTTAGAAAAAACTAAGTTTTTGGAATTGTGACCTGAGGGCTATTTGTTGGCATGGAAGATTTTAGGTGAAGGATTTCCGCACCAAAGCTGGGATTTTCAAGACCTGCTCTTCAATTACACCATCACACCTACAGTACCCTTCCAGGTAGGTAAGGTCCCTGAGTCCCCCATTAACGACAGTCCCGCAGTTACGGAAGGGTCTTCCCGAGACCAGGGAAAAAAGCATGACCCGACATTGGAGTAGAAAATATGACTGGAGTGAGTCCAGAGTTCCTCAAGTCACTCACAGCAAAATAGACAGATCAAGTGTCGATTTATGGTGAACCATCGATGGAAGAGCTCCACATTCACTTCGGTCCATTTTCAATACTTCCTTACCCATCAAGAAGCTGACTGAACGTGGTGGTGCCAGCATCCATGACAGAACCCCTGTCTGACTGGGGCGTCATCAGTGATCATCCGGCCAAGATACGCTTCGAGATTGCCATTGCTTCTCCCCTAAACCCTAGCGCCGGGCCTGGCCGCGCCCACCCGTATTTGCTGTCACAGCGCGAATCACGGACAATAACCGACCACTCAAGAGTCCCGAGCCCCTGGACGAGGAGGCGGACTGCCACAGCTTACCCCTACTCAAAGCGCCCGATCGGTATTAGCTGTGCGTACTCGGTACCAACCGAGGCCTCTGTCCTTCGTACTTAAATCAGTGCCCTTCCGTCTGTTGCTGTGCTCTCGATTCTCGAACGTTGTCATTGGCCTCGTCACACTGATGTTCGCATGCTGTTCCTGAGCAAGCGGTCATCTTGTCCTACTCTGTCGTTCCTTTCATCCGTTCGTTTTTCTGACCATTGCACCTTTCATCTGCCAAGTAGCCCCGTCTTTCATTCCACCTAAAAATCTCTCGTGGTCAAATGATCCTCGCCAAAACTCTCATCGCTACAGCGGGCTTTGTCCACAGCCATCGCCCGCGACATCCCCAATAACCTCAGATCTTTTTACAATCACATTCGCGACCAGAAACAATGCAAAAATGCCCTCGCCACCGGGTTCCACAGCTCGGACGGCGACAGCGGCGACTTTGATTACTGCGGCGACTACCTAGAAAAGTACAACATCGTGTACCTTCAGGGCCGCAACGGCGAGCTTGTCAATTTGGACATCGACTGTGACGGAATCCAGGGTGGGCCTGCTGACGACGGTCGCTGTGGGTCGTCTGGCGATACGCAGTCGCAGACGAGTTTCCAGGAGGATCTTCAAAGTTATGGCGCCAACCAGACCGACCTCGACGCCAACGTCCACCCCTACGTCGTCTTTGGCAACGAAAGCGAGGAGAACAAGAAGGGGTGGCCGACCTTTGACCCCAGCGCCCATGGCATTGAGCCGCTGAGCATCATGGCCGTTGTCTGCAATGACCAGCTCGTATGTTTAGCCCCCCTCTTCTCTCTTATTTCGCCACAACCAGTCTCGGACAATGGATGTATCGAGCGGCTATCGCTGACGAACGCAGTACTACGGCATCTGGGGCGACACGAACGGTGACGACGGCGACGAGGCCATGGTCGGTGAGGCCTCCATCTCCTTGGCGACGCTGTGTTTGGCCAACAGCATGAACCGGCGACCAAACGGCCACGACGACAACGACCGTCCTCTTCATTCGCCGTTTCACCGGGCAAGCCGACCGCACGTCCCAGGCAACGACGGGCGCCGAACTGGGGCTGCCAAACAACGCCACCAGTTCTTCCAGGAGAGCATTTACCGAGCGCGGCAATAAGCTCGTCGAGCGCATCGGCAGCGCTGCCCATGTCGCACGAGCGTCGGCAGTTGGCTTGTCTACGGAGCGGTAGCCACCGTGGCTGGAGCTCCTGATTCTGTGACGATAGATATTGTAATGACTGTAGCATTTGTTATAATAGCATCAAGCGTCTGTTCTTAGGCTGGTTGTGCAGGCCTTCGGTTGCGTGCATGCGCGTTGATGCGCGAGGACATCGCACTTTGAGGCTTGTTCTACGGTAAACAACGGTCCGTCAGTGAGTCTTGACTGACACTGCTAGGGGACAGGTGGCATGGCTCTTGCTCTCTCGCCCACCTCTACGATGGTGATCTCGGTCCGCGCGCAAGCTCTCCCCTTTTCCTGCTGGCCTCATTGGCATCCTATGCCACGTATCAGGTGGGTAAAATGAAAGGAAGCAAGTTCTGCGAGTGGCAAGATGTACAACACCTGCTACGCCTTGGCTACTACGAGGACGCTGTCGGCGGTGGACGGTGACATTTCTGCAACTTGAAAGGTCCGGCCAAATGCTGACATGTGACGTGGAAGGTGTCAAGACTGTTCTCTGCCGTCTAACCGTCATCGGTCTGTACTCCGAACAACCGAATTCCGAAGCCTCATTCAAAGGTCATGGAGTCGCCGGGCCTCCCATTCAATCACCATTACAGTGGTGGCACTAACTGTAATATTTTATTGTTCAAATGCCTAATTTGCCAAATGGATCGATTGGCTACCTCCAAGGCGGGCTTCGACGACAAGCAGGCCATATGTGTATAATGGTTCATTCAGCTCGCTTTGACCCATCAGAGTAGCGGGATACACTGCGTTCGCATGGACTGTTAATCTCCATCACAAATCAGCGATCTTGATCGCATCATCATGATGGCCGACGCCAACGTTGCTTTATCGGCTCTTAACTCTAGAATCAATGGAAACACTACAAGACGTATCACCAACATCAAGCGCCATCAAGCGGGGACCGAGCTTTCAGGTAAAGCGTGTATTGTCATCAAAAAAAAAAAAAAAACGCCTGTCCTGTGCCTAGTATCCTGTATCCCATATCCTATATCCTGTATGTTTATCCTGATATCTATGTCATAAAAATTCATGTCATGCATGCTATGCAGAGGCCCCGTGCTCACAGAGCGACAGAGACCTTGCCAGTGCCGTAGGCAATGTTCTTGACCTCGTTGCCCTTGAGGGCGTCAACGGCGCCAAGGGTGTGAGGGCACGAGGGCTGGTTGCTGACGGCGAGGTCGAGCTTGCAGACCTCGTCGTGGCCGACGGTGCAGACGGCGTTGCCAATGTTGTAGAGAACGTGGTTCTTGCCGGCCCAGGAGTTGGTGTCGGCGAGACAGGCCGCAACATAGTTCATGCTGTTGGCGGCGGTGAGGGGCAGCTTGCCGTCGTCGAGGAGGTCCTTGCACTCGGACATGGAGACGATCTCGTAGTCCATGTCGACGCCGCCGCCCATGTGGGGGGCGTCGGTGGCGGAGGAACCAAAGGCGAGGTAGTTCCAGGCATCGTAGGAGATGTCATGGGCGCCGGCCGAGGAGTCGATGCGCAGCAGGTTGAGGCTGCGGCCGCCGTGGGAGACCTTGACGCAGAGGTCGTCGCAGCCAGGAGCGCCAGGCCAGTAGGCGACACGGTTGGTGTTGATCTTGCAGCCAAGGACGCCGATGGAAGACGAGTACTGGTCGTGGGGGGTGATGGAGGCAGAGCCCTTGGTGGCACGGCGCGCAGGGATGCTAGCGCCGGAGACAAGGGTGGCCGAGGCGGCGAGAAGAGCAGTGATGGTGGTGAACATGTTGATGGTAGGGAAGGGAAAGAAGCAAGAAGGTCCTCGTTTGGAAAAGTAAGTTGATTTTTGTCGGTGGGACAAGTGTATCTCAACGCTCTGCGATGATGATAGTTGAAGTGGTTGATACCGTGATGGAAAGTCAAAAAGGAATGATGACTTGTCCTGAAGCTGTCGAAGCTGAGGCAGAGACTGGAGAGAGAAAAGGATTGAAAGTGTTGTGTGTGATGTTGAGCAGAAACAGAAGCTTTGAAGTCGAGGATCCCCCTCGGGTTAAATACAATGAACGTGTGCTTGCTTTCCTGAACAAGGAACAAACCAAGACCACAGCACCAACGAGTTTCTTTCAGACTTTTTTTCCTTCTCACATTGCTTTCCCCTCCTTTCTCCCCTTTACTACCTCCGCATTTGCGAAAAAGGCTGGATCTCGGTAAGACGGAGAAAGGGATCGATTCCTCAGGAAACAGCTGCCGAGATCCAGTTGGTGAGGAGAAAGGCTTCTAGGCCCGGGGCCACGAGTCGAAAACTCCACGCGGACCCGTTAGCCACCGTCATGAATCGTCACGCCGCTGGTGTTAGGCGGACCCCCTTGGTGGACCGGTAAAGCGTGTTCGCCATGTTCTACCGGCCGTTCGGAGGAGAAGCGAAGAATGCCAAAGGGAGGAAGAGGGAGAGGAGAACCTGGAACGCCCCTGCGCCTCCACCCCTGGAAAATTCCCGCAGGTGCCGCGACTTTGTCGCCGGAAACAGCATCGCGCCAGGCACGCCGTGGGTGACAGCGTGGGATGCCGTGCAGCAGCGCAGGAACGCGCCTTGCGCGCCCACGGCTTGACGCCACCGGTTCCATTCATAGGCCCACCCTCGACTCGGCGGCGCACACCGGACTGAAGACCGAAAGGGGTGCCGACAAAGGCGGCATAACGCCGACACGGGCGTCTCGTCTGGATGAGGCCCGTGATTCGCTGCGGAGAAAGCCAAAACAGCCGGCTCCCGGCGCCGGCCTCTGACCCAGCCTTTGACGTGATGAATGAGGGGGCCAGTAGATAGAAAGTACCCAGAATTTCGGGGTTGGAGGAGCGAGGGCCACCTTTCCCAGTCATCGCGGCGACATGAGTGGTTCTCGAAGCCGACGGTTGGACTTGTCGGTCCGGCCTTGGGGAGTCTGAGTTTTCTCCTGGCAAACAACCGGCCACTGCACCACGGCCCAGATACCGTGACCGGCGACGGAACACCGTCATCGGAGGTGGGGCTTCTTCGACTTTTCTGAGTCGTCGCTTTGCAGCTGGTTTGGCGCTGCGGCTCGCACAGAAGTGTTCTGGAACGTGGGAAAACCCGGGTCGACTGACACTGCCGATGGCTTCTCAGGCAGTGAGGATTACTCGGGGACGCGGGCCTTCTAGGCTTTGCTAGCTGTTCCGATGGAGGGGAACCCAACGCCTGCGCGAGGCACACACTCCGTGGCGTTCTTTGTGCTTTGTGTGACCAAGTCCAACAAGAAAGGGGCAATTGTTGCGACACGTTTGCGCAATCGAGACGTTGGCCGCGCTCCTTTTGCCCGAGGGAGCAGATCAATCATGAGGTTGGCGTTAACTGGCCGTCCGCCACATGCTGCCGCCCCTGGATACTAGAAAGTTCTGCGCAAACCATTCAAGAACAAATCATGACTTAATGTATTTACATGTGATCCTGAACTTCTAAAACCTCAGCACTTATCAGGCTTTTTCAAGACGCGCGAACACCGATGCCTCCATGCACCCCAGAAAAACAGGGCGCCGGGTTATCTGTGCTGTGCGGCTTGTCAACATCGCAAAATCTGGGATCGCCTGCTCTCAGACGTGCCCACAAGGCTTGACAGCTCGTGAAGCTCCATTTCCTGCACGAAGTGGACGCTTTTCAAGATGGCGCCACTTTGACCGCACGCATCTCCTTCCTCCCTCCCCTCTTTCCCCAGATTCTCGATCGAGGAGCGTGTGGAATCGAGCGGATCGAGTCACCAGTACTTTCGTGGCAGAGGGTTCGATTCGTTCGTTGCCTGGAGGAACCTAGTTCTGCGTGCTGTTCGCCCACCTGACAACGAATCATGCCATGCCGCTTAACTAGGCCGAGACCGCTGTGCGGAAGCTGTAGAAGAGAACACGAGAGGAGATCAAATATGGTGGTTCTTGACCATGGGACGCGTTTTACGACCTCAGACAGCACGGGGCTTGAAGCCGAGTTCACCTGATCACCTCCTAGCATCAGTACTTGTGTCTACGGCAAAAACGCGTCAGCACCAGCCACTTGCATCAGTGTGGAAAGTCTATTAGACAGAGTGAGGATGGCCGGGGTGGTAGATATTGATGTGCACGCTTGCTTGGTGGGATCATTGAACATGGCGCAGCGATCCCATCGTTCTGACCAGCCGGACATACATCGATGAATCGACAGCGTATAGCGTATAGGGTGAGAGGCAGGGCGAGCGGTAAATGTCACATGCCCGTAGAGTTCAAAGACCGACCGGAATATAAGCCACCACGTTCAAGCGCATGCTCAAAGCCGGATCGCTCGGGCCTGCTGTGACGTGGAGGCCATGGGATGGTTCTGTGTGCTAGTACTCATCTCGAGACGGAAAAGCCAGCGGAGCTTCATCTGTTTCTGCGAAGGCTACGTGAACTTGCGCCGTGGGCTAGAAGAGCGAGCCTGAGCAGGTTCACGCTAGAAATCGCATTGACTCTGCAGGTGGGCATTCGAGGCCACGGAGCCATTCCATCCTTCTCGGGCTCCATATCGGTGTTGGACAGATCTCTGCCCGCGCGAGGCTAAAAACGTCAAGGTTTGACCAGTCCACAAGTACCAACCCCTCCTCACCGACCTTTTTCCCGGAGTCGGCAGTTATCATAGTCTTCACTCTACGTAAGCGACTTCTGATTTACCCAGTGTGATTCTTGCAATCGCTTGCCAGTTACCGACCAGATGCCACTCATGTAAGGCCGGTTATCTATTTGTATTCAGCATAACGGGGAGGTAATGATAATATGTAGTTAATCATTTAATAAGACTTCATCCATGTCGTTCAATGGAACGACTACAAGTACCAAACACTGCTTGCTATAACTAACAATCGCCGTTGGTTCGAAATACAAACCGGCCGGACGCCGCGCACCCCACGTGAATTCCACACCTGGTCTAATCCTCGAAGAACTTAACCACATCTCTCAAGTCCTTCAGAGTGACGTCGTGCTTCGGGTAACAAATGTAAACCTGCTCCCCTAGCACTCCAAACTTCTCCTAAACTCTGTCTTTCTGTTCAAGCCTAGGCTCTTAACAATAGCCTCGTACGTCTTCGCCAGGAACTTGGCCCTCGTTCCGTGGAGCTGCTCACCCGGTGTCAGCTTCTCACTGGCACCGACACCAAACGTGACGGAGCCAGTGATGCTCGCCAGAGCTGTCTCAATGAGTACATCAATGGTGCCGTTTGGCGCGCCGGGGAAGTCGAGCGCCCACTTGACCTGCCAACCGTGCCTGGGGGCTAGTTGCGCCAGCACAACAAGCCCGTGGACTTGGTCGCCCTTCTCGGCAGCGAAATAGCGACGATGCGACATATCCACCCAGGGCCGAATCTCTGTCAGGTGAACTTGCTTGCCCTTGCGCGTCGACCTCCAAGCTTCAATTGCTGTGTTGGCGCGGTCAATGAACGCGCTATCAGGTCGAAGTTCGCGAATCTTGACACCCTCACGCTCAACCCGGCGAGCAAGTTGGCCGTGGGGTCCCGTGTGCTGGTCGGCATCAGTACGCTGTTCCTCTGTGCAGCTGAGGGTGCGCCATCCCAATTCGTGGCCAAGAACTTCGTGAACCTCCTCTGATACGAGCATCCAAATCGGTGTCAGCTTAAGCTCACGTGCCGTGAAGTCGATGAAGGCCGGAATGACTTCGGCATACTGGCGCATGTCACAGAGAGGATCGCCAATGACCATGGCAAGCCTTCCTTGCTTCACGTACCCAACCGCCGCACCGGTGTGGTGACGCCAGATCTGGAATCGATCATCAAGCCATGAGGTGTTGGAGGCGTCGCCATAGTTGGCGATGAGATCTTCTAGGGCTGGGAAGTCATGACCAGGCCGCGGCTTTGTCGTGTCGGCGTTGGGGTGTGGCAGACCGGGAGGACGCGCCGGCAGCGATTTCGGGTCACGATGGAAGAGCGTCGCGTATCGAATATCGCCGAGGTTGAGAAGAAGGGTCACAAGTCGGTCCAGGCCCAATCCTGCGCCACCATGGGGGGGTACTCCTAGGTCGAACGCAGTAAGGTACTCGGCCATGTCGTCCTCGGATATGCCAGCATCTACCATGCTTGCCCGTAGTTCTGCCGCATCATTGATGCGTTGGCCACCAGTGCAGATCTCTTGTCCTCGGACGAAAATATCGAAAGAGTTGGTCCACTTAGGGTCCTCCGCCTTGTGCGTATAGAACGGGCGCGCGCTCTTTGGGAATTTGTCGAGGATGTAGTAGTCGGTCTTGTACTTTTCTTTGACGAGCTCACCGAGACGAATTTCGTCGCGAGTGCTTAAATCCTCCTCTTCGACATCTCTTCCGTCATCGCGCAGCATTTGGATGCCTTGGGCGAAAGGAATGATTGGAGTCTCCTCCAGCCACTCTATCGGAGAACTCGGCCATCGCTCGCGGACCACATCAAGCTCCGGCATGGCCTGAGCTGCTGTGAAAATGTCTTTGAGCACACGGTCGAGAACCTTGATGAGCTCATGATAGTTGTCTTGGATAGTCATTTCCAGGTCGAGGCCGGTGTATTCGGTGAGGTGGCGATGTGTGTTTGAATTTTCAGCTCTGAACACGGGGCCAATCTGTGAAAACATTAGTTTCTTGTCAACTGGGTTTGTAATGTATTCTAAAAAACGCACCTCGTAAACTCGACCGAAATCTGCCGAGATGGCCATTTGCTTGGCTAGCTGTGGGCTCTGGGCGAGAAACGCTCTGCGACCGAAGTAGTTCACCTTGAACACGGACGCGCCGCTCTCCGTAGCCGCTGGCTGAAGTTTTGGGGTGTGCATCTCCATGAAGTTCTGTTTCTCGAGCGATTCGCGAAATGTCCGGGTGATGGTGTGGCGGACCCTGAAGAGAGCCTGGTTTGCTGGATGCCGCAGATCGAGAACGCGCGCTTCGAGACGATGGTGCATCGTGTTCGGTGCCTTGTAGTTGCTGAACGCCAAGTCATGCGCAGGACTGACAAGATACATGGTGTCGATACTGATCTCAACGCCGCTGTGAGATGCCGAGCGAACATGTTGCACAGGCTTCTGGAGCGTGCCGGTGACCTGGACAATGGACTCGGGATTGAGGTGCTGAGCCCACCGTACCATGTTTGGGTGAGTGTGCGACAGCACGCCCTGGATGGTATGCGTTTGATCCCTGAACAGGAGAAAGTCGAGATGTTTCGACATTCGGCGTTGTGTGTGGATTCGAGCTCTGAATGTGACGACAGAGTCAACGGGCATGCCGGACGCTTCAGCAATCGTCACCAGCTTGGCTGGGTGATGGAGCTCTGCGCCATAGCGATTGTGCTCCTCGGGGGTCTCAGGGTCTTCATCGTCGGTTCTGGGCTGACTTGGTGTACTTCGCGGGCTTTGTGGCGTTGAAGAGGTACTGCTGGCGGCAGTGTTTGCCCTCGGCCGGACGTCGGGGGCGCTATTGACACCATTGCGCAGGTCGAGTTGGGGCACCTTGTCACTGCTGTCTGTAGTGCTGCTGCTGTTACGGGGAGATTTGCGGGCGCGGTCGAGGCTGACGGTCGATGTGGCTTTGGCGTCGTGATCGTGGCGGAGCGCGGCGAGTTTGTGTGCAATTCGCGAGAATGGGTTAGGGGAGCCCGGAGAGGGGCTCTCAGTCGAGCGGCGGCTGGTTGTCGTCATAATGTGCTGTCGTCAAGTGCCGGCGGGGTTAAAGCCGTCTCGGCCGGTGTTGGGTGTGCAGTGTCAGACTGCCAGGCACAGGGCCAGGCCAGGACTACCGGCAGCAGCTGCGGTGCAGGGGTGTTGGGCGTGGAGGCTGAATGGTGAGTATCTAGTGCGCCTTCCTTCTGGACTCGGGCACCAGGGCGCAAGGTCAAATTGGACCGATCCGGAGTTGTTCGTTCAAGGGACAATGGTCGCTCGACAACTGATGGTGTGTGTGCGCAATAGACGCTTTCGTGGGGTTGTGTGTTGATGGGTGTGATGGCAAAGCGGCAGATCCAAGACACTTGGGTTTAGTGTGATGATGAGCATTGGCAGAGAACAGGAGAACAGAAGGGTGGGAGGCGACAATGAAAGGTTAATAAAGGATCAGGCAGTCCGGAGTCCTAGTTGGGCCCGCGTTCGTCGTCCAAGCCGGCATACTGGCGGATGGGATGGATATCTTGGATCTTGGTGGAAAGGCTTGGTAAGACCAGGGCCATGACCAAGAGTCGACGTGTCCGTGGCCGGCGTCACGACGTGTCGGACGGGGCTCGGCAATCCACAAGCCTTAGCCAAGTCGCTGTACTTGACCATGGTGCCTGTTCAATGCCCCTGGTTCCATTATTCAAGCTCTTCAAGCCTTTTCCGGCGGGTGCACTCTCAACAGGCTCATGAGTGAAGTCATCTGGACATGCTAGCTCGAAGGTGCCCACCGCAGGACAAGCATCTCGCCCGGTAAGGCTCCTAGCGTTCCAAGAACTGGAGATACAACGAGTAAGACGCATACCCGGGAGACAAACCGGGTTTGGTGGGTGGTCGGCTTGCATTGCATTGTGATGCCCTCTGATGCAAACGCCGAAGCGTTGCGGAACGGCCGGACCAAATCTTCCACCGCCCCAGAAAAATCTCAGCCTTTTCGCACAGCGCCTGTCATTCTACTTGGTATGCTTGTTGCCGAACTGCCTTCCGTTGCTGTAGACCTACCTGCCCTTGCTGGATCTGGAACTGCCTTGGTCTGCTGACCGGGAATGGGCAAGCGCAGCAAGCGCAGCAAGGGGGTTCTTGCCCGGACGGGACGACATACCGAGTTGAGCCCTTGCTACGGAAGGCGCGACTCGCTGAAATGTGCGTCTGCTGAGCACAAATTGTCTTGGAGTTCGTGATGGGGAAAGAAGGTTCGAGGGTTCATGACGTCACTCCACTTCACTTGAAGTTGGCTCTTCAGCCTCCCTGCCACGCCATCCTCCCCCACCAGCGGTCCCCCACCAGCGGGAGGGACATGGCGTGTCCACTTGTTGAGCGCTTGCGTTGCGTCGACATGAGCTCGACAAAGGAAGGAAGTGACCCAGGGAGGCATCGTATGACGGGAACTTTCACAGCGGTCACAGATCCCTCGATGAGCCGCAACCTTCCGCCTTGCCACGCACCGTCCTCACCCTTTCCCTTGGCTCTCCGAAGCTCCCCGACGACATCCCGCCGACCATATCTGACTGTCGGCCCCCTTCAAGCACCCGGCGGACCCGAATCGTCCTGAGGTACCTGTACATCGACCATCCACGTGGTGTGTTGACTCTCCGGCATCACCGGCATCACCGGCATCGCAACCCCACCTTGTTTTCGACTTTGAGCCTCGCACACCGCATTTGCACCTGGCACCTGTCATCTCCTACCCCGCGGTGGGCGCCATGTTGCGCAAAATCACAACCTCGGGAGGTCAGTCGACCTCTTCGGCCAGTAGCAGCAGCAGCAAGCGTTCACGCCTATCCGCCAAGCTCTCACGCTCTGCGTCACGCAGCACGCCGGGAGAAGGGCCCTGCGACGAAGAATATGTGAATCCGTTAGAAAATGTCGCTCGATGGCGACTGTCAGCGAATGCCCTGGCTTTGCGGTCAGGTGCCTCCTTTGCTTTCAACTGGGGCAACCGCTCTGCACCCGCGCCCTCATCTCCCTCACGAACCATCTACCTCGACTCAACCTTGTCAGAATGGAAGGGTAAAGACGCCATCCGAGTTGACGTGTACGAACCATCGACCACCACGCAGCCAAGCAAAGCCCGTGCTGCCGCCGACCCTGTCAAGCGTGTCGGAGTCATCAACCTCCACGGCGGCGGCTTCATACTGGGCTCAGGCACAGATGATGCTCGCTGGGCCTGCGCCGTGGTCGAGTCTCTCGATGCCGTTGTCTTCTCCGTCAACTACCGTCTGGCCCCCGGCTACCCATTTCCTACCCCTGTCGAAGATACTCTCGACTCTATTCTTCAAATTCATGCACGTGCAGGGGAATTCAATGTTGATCCGAACCGTCTCCTCCTTTCCGGCTTCTCAGCAGGCGGCACCCTCTCACTGGCCGCGTGGGTGATCCTTCAAGACCCTTCTCGCTGGGGCTATGTCCTTTCATCATCTCCCTCGATCGCGGGTCTTGCACTATTCTACCCGCTCCTCGACTTCACCACGAGTCGACCGGTTAAGCGCCGGTTATGCGTCAAGCCGCACGAGACGCTCCCCAAGAGTATGACAGATCTTTTTGACGCTTCGTATATCCATCCTGCCATTTCTTACGACAATCGCGACGACCCCCGTCTCAGCCCAGGGCTCATGCCGCTCGAGTACATGGAACGACTGCCGCCGGTACACCTTTGCCTTTGCGAGATGGACATGCTCCTCACTGAAGGCCTCAAGTTTGCCGATAATCTGCGCGAAGCAGGCGTCACAGTCACCTCGAGGGTCGTGCTGGGAGAGAAGCACGCGTGGGACAAGCCACCCCCGTTTGCGCCCAAAGCGAGCGTCTCGGTGGAATACCAGGCGGCCATCGTTGCCATGCGACACTGGCTCAGCGACGACGGAGCCAAGTTGACGCGGGCGGATGTCGGGACTGTCAACGATCAGACTCGGGTAGCAGACGACGCGCCACTAGACACAAGATCCAGAGTAGAAAGGGGCGAGCGAGACGAGGGAGAGGGCGAGGAGAAAAGAGAGAAGATATTGCTGCCTGGATATTGACAAGCGAAGGACAGGTAGTATCTGTATAATGATTTGAGGGAGCCTTTTTAGCATAAACACGATAGTAGATTAATACGTTTAGCATGTTCTATTTCACGACCAACCTCATCACTCGTTGTATACTGCAAAGATCACCTGAGCTTCAATCCGTAACAGCCTGCCGCCATGCCTTGACCACGATCCAGGCACAGGGTCTGGAACCGAACTCCAGGCGATGAATGGAAGACAGCTCCAGGCCAAGAGAAACAAAAGTCGGCGGACGTGAGGGCGACGGGGCTGTGGCTGTAGAGTATGCCGAGACGGCGACGGTGTGGGTGCTGCCAGAGCTGCGGAGGGAGAGCGTCTTGGTGGACGTCGTGCCAGAGGAACGCCCCTCCGTTTGGACGGCGTGTTCATACCGCGGCACGAGTTTGCTCGTGGCTGGCGAGCGCAACGGTGAAGGGGGGAAGCTGCTGTACGTTGGTGGTGGAGCGCGAGGCGACCCTGGCGTGTGGCCCGAGTGATCGCTGGACGCCGGGTCTGGAGTCAAGATGGTGGGGAGCAGCCTCCGGTCCCGAAGTCGAAGTGGGGGCAGCGACGTCCTGGATCGGGCATCGGCAGACATTGTGGGCGAGATGAGAGGTGTGGGCGAGTCGGCGGGTTTGACGGAATCGGCATATCGAAGACTCGGGGGGTAACCCTGATCGCGTTGGCGTCGGCGACGGAGGTAGCAGAGGATGAACACGAGGAACGCAATCAGGAGAAGTACGCAACAGACGGCAATGGCGGCTCTGGAACCCGCGGACAATGATCCTGGTCCCCCGTTGGAATCGGACGAAGTGTCCGGTTGGGCAAGTAGCACTGCGTCTGAAGCAGCCGTGGTTGTAGCGGTCGTCGTTCGAGAGGGCTGCGGCTTCGTCTCGGTGGTGATGACGGTGATGGAAACCCCGTCTGCCGCAGATGCCGGTAGGACCTCGCCGAATTTGGCACTGGCCCTCTGACACGGCAACCCGTCTTCACCTTGGGCTACCGAGTCCAGAGGACACAAGTAGCCTCCAGGGGGAGGTCCTGGGTCGTGGAGAAGAGGAAGTCCGCGACTGTCAACTTGTCATCAGCGTCATGTGCCCCGGTTGTTTGATGAAAAAGAACATACTTCTGACAGTGAAGCATGATACTGTTGACGTTGGCTGGGAGGCCATGTCAGAATGAGAACCGTAGTACATGATCCAGATGGAGGCAAGACTCCCCCGAGGACAGACTCACGATCTTGACGAGGATTTTCTCTCGTCTGAACGCCGCAGAGCAACGAGTCGCAGCAGTAAAGCTCCCATAGTGGAGAACCGTCCCTCCTGTCTTTTGCAGCGAACAAGGTTTCGCAGGCCTCCGAAGGAATCGTCTCAGCATTATCGTAAAATCGCGCCCAGTCGAAGCTTGCCCAGTCGTAAGTCGTCAGGGTCCTTTCAAAAAATTGTCTCTGGCATCTCATGATGCATTCGTGCGCCGCAGGAACATTAGTTGCGATGCTACCCCAAGCTCTGTCAGTCGAGCCGTCGCATGCCTCTTCCCTCGCGAATTTTCCTTCTCCTTTTAGCGCCATGGTGACTGAGGGCTGTCGAATCGTGACGTCGTGATCAAACGAGAGCGTGCTCGTCGGCGACATGTAGCATAGACATGAGAAGCTTGTGGTTCGTCGTGAGCCTCGCTGATTGTCAAAGAGCAAAAGACCTCAACGACCACGCGCTGGTGCACACTCTCAAGTCTAGTGGAAGACGAGAGGCCCTTGATCAGAGGGGGGCAGGGGGATGTTCCATGCATTTGTAAAGAGGAGGACACGACAGGAACACGGACGGATCTCGCAGGTGTCGGAAACCAACCGGCCTCATCAGGTCATGCTGCAGAACATGACGCCGGACGTTCGTATTGTTGCTGGGCACGGCAGTGGCATCATTATCAGCCAGTGCGCTCCTACGAGCAGCATCGTCAACGGGGCGAGGCGAGGTTCAGGCGACACGCCAGCCAGACATGCTGGGATGTGATCAGTCACACCAGGATGCGCCTACCCGTGCCCGGACGATAACAGTCTCGTATGGCGGCCGGGTCGTGCAGCCAGCCCATAGAAGCCAGAGAAGCTGCGCGTGCCCGCATGACGGTGGTGGCCGCGAAAGATGGCAAGTAGAGGCAGGGATAGGCTGGAGTGCTTTGAGCGCGGAAGAGCAACACATGGGAGAAAAGAAGTGGCAAAATACCAGCCATGTGGACTTCGGCCAGCCTGCAGTTGACTCTCACGAAACGCTGGTTCAGGGATGTTCGAGTCTCGACCCTGCGATAGAGGCTTGCGGCGGTGACGGTGTACGGGGGTGCAACAACCTCAACGCCCATCATCACCGCCACAACTCTCCTCAAAACCGGTCATAAAGAAGTTGTCATGAGAGGTTGTCATGAGAAGTTGTCATGAAGAGGGAGGGGGGGAAAGCCACAGCCCAAGGTCCCCTCCCATGTGTCAGGGACAAACGCAGTCGAGAGCTGCACGCTACGACAAACGCAGAGCCAGATACGAGCGGTAGGGGCGATCAGGGCGATCAGGGCGACACGGGCGGCCCTTTTTCGCGCAAACTTGATGTGACCACGACGGCCGGGGGGAAAGACAGTATCAAGAACCAGCCGTTCGGAGACCTGAGAAGCACGGCGCCGCCGGCTGACTGGGCTACTGGCAGCGTACGGGGTCGGCCACCACGACCGTGTTCCTGTTCGTGCTCATCGTGGGACAGACCCGCGCCCTGACCCAGGAAGGGCTTGCAAAAAGCGTCGAGAGTGACGAGGGGGCCAGGGTGGTGGTGGTGGTGGTGGTTGCATCCAATGGCTTTGTGCAGTACGCGAGCGACCACAAGGTCATTGTGCGACTCGAAGCAGCCGCTGGACCTGGGCTCTGGGCTCTGGGTGACTTTCGAGTGCCTAGTGATAATGCGGAAGCATGGGCAGCCTAGGGAGTTCCTTGGCACGATTGCCATCGTGCCAGCTGTATGCTGCAGCTTGATCATGATCCTGGGTTGACGATCGATAGTTGATGCCTCAGCTGCAGTGGCAAGGGGAAACACCAAAGTGCAGCTCTTGCTTTGTGACGACGGCTCTTTCCTCGCTGCTTTTTTGGCCTGGGCCGAGACTGTGTGGCCCCTGGGTTGGATAGTGGCTGGGCTTGCACAACTAAGCCACAGATGCACAAAAGCTCGCCGTAAAGCCGGAAGGACCGTATCGTGCTGCACCGTAAAAAACAGCTGCAGCACTTCGTAGCAACAGCGGAAACGGCAGGTACTTGGATCCATGTGACCCACGGTTCCACCACTACAAGGCAAGTCGGTGCTGAATGCGCACTTGGTGAGCGTCGGCCGACGGTCGTTTCGTCGGCCGACGGTCGTTTCGTCGAACGACAGTCGTTTCGTCGGCCGAACCCAATGGTCGAGTACATCCAGGCAAGCGGCGGCCAGCCAAAGGACTCGGTCGGCGCTCGGTCGATGTGGGGGCATCGGCATCGGCACTTGCAACACCCGGCTGTCGGGGCATGAGGGTTGCTTGACGCAGAAGTTTTTTTGGAGTTTCCCGCGATATGTTGGTAGGCCACCAAAGTCACAGTCGGCAGGCAGTATAAGTACTATTGCCAGATACACCTAGATCTTCCCACACGTTCCTCGGAATGCCTCGTTCATCACCGCCATAATCTTCCTAGTACAACCAACTGGCAACGCTAGTCTGCAAAATGGCACACAAGAAAATCATCGCTGTTGTCGGAGCCACTGGCGCTCAGGGCGGTGCCGTTGCTGCCGTCTTCCTCAACGACCCGCTCCTACGCCACGAGTGGACGGTTCGCGCCGTGACTCGAGATCCAGCCAAAGACAGGGCACAGAAGCTCAAGCAACAAGGTGCCGACGTGGTGGCGGTACGTGCTCTCCATGGTAGACATGTAGACGTTTTCGCACCGACTGACCAACGGCAAAGGCCGACTTGAACGACAAAGCCTCGCTTGTGAGGGCCTTCGCTGGAGCTACGGCAGCGTTTGGCGTCACCAACTACTGGGAAACCCTGAGCATCGATACCGAGATCCAACAGGGCAAAAACCTTGTCGATGCCGCGAAGGTTGTCTTCCCCTCTCACTTTCTGCTTTCCTGCGAGGAATGTGCGCTCATATCCGGCTAGGAATCTGCTGTTTCTCATTTCATCTGGAGCTCTCTGCGCAATGTCAAGAAGCGTAAGGACTCGCCGGCCATCACCTGCCGTATAGAAAGTTTGTTAATACCAAAGTAGTGACACAGGGAAAACTCGCCCACGTCCATCAGTTCGACGGCAAGGCCGAGGTTGAGGAATACGCCAGACAAGTCGGCATTCCAGCCACATTCTTCCTTCCGGGGATATACATGGACTCTCTCGCCCAGTCTTTCAGACAGAACGCGCCGGGGAGTCCTTGGGTATTTTCCCTGCCGATGCCTGAGACCGCGCCTCTTCCCCTGTTCGATGTTCGCAATACTGGGCTCTGGGTCAAGGCGATTGTGCGAAAGCGAGACCAGCTCCTGGGAAAGCGTGTACTCGGCGCTACGAAGTATACAACTCCTGCGGAACTCGTAAGTGAGTTCACGCAGGCGTTCCCCGAGGCCGGCAAGGCAGCCAGCTTCTTCAGTATGCCGCATGAAATGTTCCTACAGGTGGTCCAAGACGTCATGGGGTTGCCGGACTGGGCAGCGGAAAGCATCTTAGAGATGATGCGCCTTGTTAATGAGGGTGGATACTTCGGTTTTGAATCGTTGAGTGAGAGTCTCGCGGTGCTGGAGGACGAACCGACGGCGTGGGTGGACTTTTTGAAGAGGAACGAGGCTTTTAAGGATCTTAAGTAAAGGACACAGAGCAGAGTTCTTTCCTATCATCAATAAGGAAGACGCAACCCCCCCTGGTTCGGTGTAGGACATCTTCCGGATGATCTGATTCGATAGTGTCTTGTGGAGCTCAAGCTATCTGCTCTTCACTTTGCATTATCTTACTTCACCGTCTGACGGTTGAGGTTGTCGCGCTGCGTTCAAGTTCCCAAGCTCTTCGTCAGGCCTCTCCAGACGCACCAAATGCATTCTGGAATCAGCGGACCTACCAAGATGCAGGGCGATAAACCCTGCAGTCGCGTCGGCACCCACTGAGAGGGCCAAAAATCAATCCATCGATCCTAGAAGCCAAATATGACGAGAATCGCAGCTCGACCAGGCACGCCAACGCTTAACTGCCAGTCTCCTGTTCGAGTACCCGCGTTTAGTCTCCACCTGTCACCGACAGCATATCGTCGCTCTCGCCCTCAAGGCTGAGTTACAGCGCCATCATCTGATCCCAGGCCTGCCATGCCTCAGCTGAGTCTGCGAATGTGCCATCCAGTGCCAGTTCCTCCCAGCCCAGACTCGCCTCGAATGCCGGAGCTTCCGAGTTGAGCCCGCTGTTCGACATGCCATCCGTCGTCAAGGAGCTAGGGTTTCCCATTCGAAGTCCAGGGCCGTCATCGATACCATGTGATAGCCATACACCATTGACGCCCCCCTCGGGCACTTGCGTCCCCAGAGCCAGTCGTCTCTCCGCCTCGGCCATGTCGAGCGTCGCACTCTGCCAGGCACGTGGATGGAATACGTCCGGGCCGCGTGAGAGATCCGACTCTTGCGCAGAAAGCAGCTGTTGAGCGATGTCGTTGTCTTGCTGGGTGCGCTCGTTCTCTAGCTTCCGGTGTTCAGCGACATCTCGCACGAGCTTTCTCACTGGGAGCCAGAGTATGTCCTTTCTGTAGTTGGCCTTGAAGGAGGTGGACGAGGTCAGGTACACGTTGAGACACGTCCATGCCCGTTCGCACGCAACGCTCCACGGACGGTCCCGGAGCTGTACGAGGAGCACGCTCAAGTGGCGCCAGGGGACCTGTGGCTGAAGGGCCCAGTACCAGCCACTCGTCGCTGGTGACATTTCAAGCCTATTGGACAGCTCAAGCACGGTCAAGCAAAGGACGAGGATGCGGTTGAAGCCAGGATTGGCAGCGGCGCTGGGGGTTGATGTTGCCGGTGGGTTGTCTCGCATGCTCAGATTGAGCTCTGATCTCGCGAGCGCGTGGCGCACGATATCGGAGAAAAATTGGTGACGGGGATTGCTGGGCTCGGCGTGCCGGAGGAAGCTGTCTTCAATCTTCTGGCGAGTCGTCGCCAGGGCTTCGATCGCCTCCGGCGTGAGGCTCACGGCGTCTTGAGCTTCCGTCTCGGCAGTCGCAGAGGACCACGGGCGCTTCTCCCGCTTAGCGAGTTGCCAGAAGTGGTAGCGAGCAATGGCGAGCGACGCGTCGGTGATGCCGTTGCGTGGTGTTGGTGTGGTCATGTCCTGGGGATCGAGGTCGTCGTCGTCGATATTCGTCGGCGGCTCCGTGTCCTGGAAGATGCCAAATGTAGACAATTGAGTACAGGTCGTCTGCGACTCCCCTGAGCGAGCATCGATGAAGCAAATATGCCACCACAATCGCCGCCGCATTTCGACGTTGAACGGCGAGATGCCTTCGAAATGGGAGCCGTCGCGGTGCAGTCCCATGAGCAGGGCGATGCGGACGACGAGACCTGTGAGGCACCAAGAGGCGCGGGTGCCTGCCTCGTGGCACTTGGCCTCGACGTACAGAACCAGTGCCTGGAGTACGCGAGTATCTGTCGTGTTGAGAACATCGGCCTTGGCGAGGGACACCTCGGCGCCTGTCGAGAGGCGGCGGACAAGGGCCGTGCGAGATTCGCGAAAGTTCTCCAACACGTCCTGTTCACTCATGGAGGAGATGGCTGCCAAGGACACGGCGAAGACGACTGGCTGCCAGGAGACTGGCAGGGAAGAGATTCGCCCTATTCTCACGAGTTAGGAGACAGATCTGGAGGAGGCGGCAAACCGCCGGCTACGGTACGTAGTCGGCGACCATCTCACCCTTGGAATCGCGAATGACCTTGTCTATGGTCTTTCGGTGGAGGATCTTGATGCCCTGGTCGACGTTGTCGCAATACGTCTGCCAGACGAATGCCATCTGAGATGGTAGTGGTTGGTAGTCGCTCATGTCGAACGACATGGCGTGATGGGCTGGAAAGGGCGCCCATGGCAGACTCCAGGGCTCAGAGGCTTCATCTCCGCCAATGCTGGACTGCTGACGCTCAGCCTCGAATGACTGGCGAAGGTTTGTGACCTGGAGGGGACGGTGGTCAGTGGCTGGCTCAGGGCGAGCAGGCTGGCTCAGGGCGAGCCCGGCGTCCCGAGACGGATGACGAACCTCTTCCGAAATGTGTCGCCAGAAGCGGCTGGGGATGTAGATGGTGTCGTCTTCAGACACGAACATGCTGCCGACACTTTGCGTCAACGCCTCGTCGTCACTGCGTGGTTCTGCCGCTGTTGCCTGCGGATGGAGGACATCGTCGGAGGGGGCGGGATCGTCAGGCTGCACGCCTATGTGTCGGAGCAAGCCCTCGAGGCGGTTCAACCGAGCAAGCAGATCCTGGTTTCTGTCCCTCGAGCTGCTGGCCGGTGCTCCGTCTCGCCTCGTCGGAACGCGGCCGGACGTGGGGAAGGCGCAGTCGAGCCCGGCTTTGGCACACTGGGAGCAGGGCGAGCGCCGATCGCAGCGGACCTTCCGGCGCCTGCAGGTCAGGCAGTTCCAGATGTGCAACGAGTCCTCGGTGCCTGTCATGGCGGATCGTCGTTGGTGTCATGGAACATTGCCACGTCCCGGGCTGACGGTGTTCGGTGACCGAGCCGGGAGATGCTGCGACGGGTTGGCAATTTATCATACTGGTGGGGACTTCTGGTCTCCCACTGACTGCGGGGTCAGTGCCGTGTACATGCCATCAAAGGAACTAACGCGGCCCCATGTTGCCGGTTGAAGATGAGCGAAACACATTGGTGTTGGAGATGGGAGAGCTAAAAGGGGATATTTAGTCAGCGGGGTGGAAGCCGTCGTCTCAATACGGAGCACGCTGCCGTTTGAACACGACCGTCGTAGCATTTGTTCGTGCACAACATGCATAAATCCATCTCGAATGCGGCGTAGCTGAGCTTGGGCGGAGCCAAACCGCGTAAGAGGCAAGAGCGGCAATACTTAGTGAGAGCGGTGACCCGATGAGTTCAAAGTCATGGGCGTCAGGGAGAAGGCGGCAGGGTGTGACGATGCCGACGAGGCCATGCCGCCAAGGAATAAGGGTCAACGTGCAAGGTTAATCGCCGAGGGCTCAATGTGACAGCTCGGCAAATACATTAGCCTGCTTCTCGAAATGCAGCTTGCCCACGAGGTCGGGTTGCCATATAGCCGGGATGTTGAGGCAAGATGGCAAGCCAGTCGTTTATCGGCAACGCGAGTGTGCTTGCTTCTTGGTTTGCAGACGCAGTTCGACGAGACAGAGGTACGATACGACGAGGTCAGGCGTTGTGCATGTGTGCAGTCATCTGACGTGATGTTGCCTTCTATCCGATTGCGGTATGCTCGTGGGTGACTGAGAGGTCGAGGAGGGAATATTCCGTTGGACGATTCCACACCTCGGGCTGCTTGCCATGCAAATAATAGGCCACCGTGGTCTGCATGCTCCTAGGTAGGTAGCAAGGGTAGATAGGTAGGTGCTTTGAGGTACAGTGGGTAAGTACTTAGGTGCGAAGCATGGACATGAACGCGCTGGAGTTGACCGTGAGCGTGTGGCTCTGTGGCTCAGGCGATTCGTGGCTGCAGCGGACCCCAGCTTTGCCCCAGCTCACCCACGTCGATCGCCAGGAGCCTCGGCTCGCCAACTGCTCGATCCAACCCCCTCCCTCCATCGATGCCACATCCGAAACCGAACCCCGATCGCAGACGACATGTAAGCTCGCAACATTTCCAGCACTGTCAAGCACAGCTGCCCCCTCATAATCACCACTGCCTTCCCCGCTGCCACCATCATGCCCCCATCCGCCAAAGACAGAATCTCGGCGCTGGGCCACCAGCTGGCCCCCAGCAGCGCGTCGTCGACGACGTCGCTGCCCGCCATCACAAAAGTGGCCGGCCCCTCGGCGGCGCCGCGCGTCGCCGGCAAGGTCGTCGTCATCACGGGCACCAACTCGCCCCTCGGCATCGGCCGCGCCGCCGCCCACCAGTTTGCCGAGAACGGCGCGCGCGCCCTGTACCTCTGCGACTTTGACGGCACGCACCTCGACGCCCACGCCGCCGAGATCAGGGCTGCGCACCCGGCCGTCGAGGTCCACGTGCGCCGCTTCGATGCCGCCGAGGAGCAGGCCGTCCGGGACGTCGTCGCCCACGCCGTCACGACCTACGGCCGCCTCGACGTCTTCTTCGCCAACGCCGGCATCGTCGGGCCCATGGCCCTGTTCACCGACGTCACCGAGACGGACTTTATGCAGATGATGCGCACCAACGTGCTGAGGTGTGTCAACTCTCTGAGGGTTACTCTCGGGGTCACTCTCTGGCTCTGAGGGCCACTCTTCTGCGTGTGCACAAGCTGACAGGACCAGCGTCTTCCTCGCCGCCAAGCACGCCGCGCCGGCGATGCAGCTGACGTCGTCGGCCAAGCCCCAGGCCGGCGGCTCCATCATCGGCACGGCCTCGGTGGCCGGCATCCGCTCCAACGCCGGCACGACGCCCTACTCGGCCGCCAAGGCCGCCGTCATCTCGGTGGCGCAGACGACGTCCTACCAGCTCGCCGGCACCGGCGTCCGCGTCAACGCCATCTGCCCGGGCCTCATCGAGACGGGCATGACGGCCGACGTGTACGAGGCGGCCCGCGCGCGGGGCACCGAGAAGCGCATCGGCCAGCTGAACCCGCTCAAGCGCGGCGGCCACGCCGACGAGATTGCCCGCGTCGCCCTCTTCCTCGGCAGCGACGAGAGCAGCTACGTCAACGGCCAGGCGTGGGCTGTCGACGGCGGGCTCAGTGCGGGCCACCCCTACGTGCCGGGTCGCATTGGCTGATTTGTTGGTGTTGGAGCATGGTTTTTATTTTTTAGACTTTTATTTTAGTCTTTATTTTTAGTCTTTTATTTTTCATCCTTGTTGTAGTCTTTATTGTAGTCTTTCTTTATAGTCATCAGTCTACGTCCATGCCATCAGGTGCCGTGCTCTCCGCCTGCTCGATCCGTTGCAGCAGGCCCTCCTTCCACAGGCGGTAGTCGAGGCGTCTGGTCTCGCTGAGGTAATCGTACCTGTCCTGGAACATGGTGTCGGCCCGGCGTATCGTCAGCTTCGTGAGCCGCCCTGCGCCTTCCTCGTCGCCCCGTGCCTGTGCCTGTGCCTGTGCCTCGGCACCGGCCTCATGCATGTCGGCCTCGTCTTCGTCCGCATCGAAGGCGCCGCTGGCAAAAAGGTCGCGGATGCCAACGTACCAATCCTCCTGCAAAAAGGCCCTGCGCGTGACCTCGTCCGTGACGGCGATAAAGTCACGCCGCCGGACCGCCCGCCAACCCTCCCAGGCATCGTCCTCGTCGAGCCCCCCGCCGACGACGAGCTCCTGGCGCGCCCGCGCCAGCAGGGCCAGGACCTCGGCGCGCACGGGCAGGTAGTTTTCCTCGGTGATGGGCTCGCCGGTGCGCAGGACGCGCAGCTGCTGGACGACGAAGAAGTACAAGGCGGCGACGAGGCCCGTCAGGTTGGCGAGGACCCAGGGGTCGCGCGTGCGGCGGCCGCCCGGCACGACGGCGCGCTCCATGCCGGCGAGCAGCGTCGGCGCGAGGCGGGCGTGGCGCGAGGCGCGGCAGAGGAAGCGGATCGTCGGGCGGATCCACGGGTGCAGGGCTGACGATCTGTCGACGGGAGGGACGGCCCTGCCGGTGGATTTGGTGGGGGTGCCGGCGGCGGCGGCGCGGAAGGGCGCGAGGGTCGTGTCTTTGCTGGGCGTCGTCCTCGACGGCAGCGGGCGGCCCGAGGCGGTCGTCGTGTCGGGGTCGGCGTGGCGTGCGCGCGGCGTGGCGTGCCTGTTCTTGGCTGGCGTGCGGGCCGTGACGTTGTGCGGCAGGATGTTGTCGAGGTGGGCGTAGAGGCGCTGGTAGATGCGCGGCGGGATGGGCGGGCGCGACTGGATGGGCGGCAGGTCGAGCGGGATCTTGAGGCGGTCGCAGGCAATGTGGCAGCAGGCGTGGAGGCGGGCGACCTCTTCCTCGGCCTTGAGGGTGCTGGCTCGGTGGCGGGACTGGGCGAGGAGGGCGCTGGCGAGCTCGACGAGGGGGGGCGGCAGGTCGGTGCCGTGGGTCGGCATGAGCTGGAGCAGCGCCTGCTCTATGGAGCGGCTCATTGCGGCTCGATGGTGGGCCTTGTGGTGTTTGTGTGTTTGGTCGAGGCTGTCGAGCTTGAGGTTGCTGAGCTTGAGGTTGCTGAGCTTGAGGTTGTCGAGCTTGAGGTTGCTAGGGATTGGAGCTTGGCACCTCCTAGGCACCTAGCTACCGAAGTACCCAAGGTAAGTACTAGACGGTGCACGGCTGCCTGCCCAAGGTACCTTATGTACCTAAGCTTGCTAGGTAGGTGCGAAGTACTGACTGTGACCACAAGCTTCGACCAAAGAAGCCTTGTCAAGATACCTTCATTACCCTACCTACCTGGTAGGTAGGTGCATGGAGGTAGGTAGCTTGTAACCTGATCATTGGCCCGCTGGCTGACTCGACATGACTGACCCGGCATTCCTCTGTAGAGTTGAGCTCCGTTGGGTTTGTGCCGACCTGACCTGACCTGGACCTGACCTGACCTGACCATGGGGTCTCGAGTTGACCTGACCATTGGGTCCACCTATGGCTTGGATTGACCACTCATATCGGGGCATCGAGTGCAAATTCCAATTTCTGATTGGCTCAAGGTCAGCTAAAGCGGACCCAATGGTCAGGTCAACTCGAGACCCAATGGTCAGGTCAGGTCAACTGTCTGCGCAAGAGCCCGCTTAACTGTACCTTGCAACGAACCCCCAGGAATAAAATAGTATTATTGTTGTTAGCCAAAAAAATAATAATTCTAAAAAATCAAGCCAATTGAGCTCTGGGCAATGGTCAGATCAACTCAGTGCAGGCGGGGCCACATGGTCTGTATATGTAGCAATGGGACGCAAGACGCAGGAGAGAGCTGGAGAGACCTAGAGAGCGCTGAGGGCGCTGGAGAGCGCTGGAGGCGCTGGAGAGCTGCCCCACGTCCAGGTCAGGTCAACTGCGGACCATGGTCATCTCAGCTCGAGACCCAATGGTCAGGCAATCAGCCAGCAAAACACGGACGTCGGCGCCTACCAATGCCGATACGCAGCTACCTACCTACACATCAGCAGCAGCACAATCCCTGGCGCCCCTGCTGCACGCCAACGCGCCCCTGAAATGGGAATTGCGCATCCTGCATTGCGATCCCATTCAGCACATTCCGTCCGAGCTCCAAACAACGCCAAACAACTCCCAACATCGTTTCTCCCGAATCCCTACGCCAAGGCACCCTTTCCTCAGCCCTGCCACGTTTTCCTTCTGTTTCTGCCGTGTCTCTCCTTCCCTCTCCTGCCCTCCCCTCTTCTGTCCGCCCCTCCTCTCTGCGATCTCCTCATCTCTGCGAACAACACCCACGATGCACCACCTCCGCCTCGCAGCAGCAGCAGCAGCCGCCGCCCTCGCCGCCACGGCCCTCGCCCACGGCGACCACGCAAGCCAGGCGCCCCTCGTCGCCGCCGACGCCGACTGGATGACGCGCCACATGGCCGAGGAGCACCACATGAACGCCTGGGACGCCGCCTCCTTCTTCGCCCTGCACGACTACAACGGCGACGGCCTCTGGCACGCCGACGAGATGCAGCGCACCTACGGCCTCATGGACGAGTCCAACAGCGGCCTCGCCCAGTCCAAGCGCGACGACGTCGCCCGCCAGCTGCTCGCCCTGCTCGACGCCGACGCCGACGGCGCCGTCACCAGGGCCGAGTGGGACGCCTTCATCCACGCCGGCAAGACGCTGCCCGACCTCGGCACGGGGCCCGGCCACCACGGCGACGCCGAGTACGAGTATGAGATTCACCACTGGGACAAGTATGTTCCTTTTTTTTTTTTTTTTTTTTTTTTTTTTTCCCTTCTTTCCAGTTGTATCTCGTCCCTGGCCCCGCTGACCCCGTAGATACCACGACGAAAACACAAAGCTCGAGGACCTCACGCACCCCGAAGACATTGAGCACTTTAAGAAGCACGACGACATGGAGGACGAGGCCGAGAGGATAGAGAGGCTCAACAAGATGGCCATTGTCGAGGCCAACATTCCCTCCAAGTTTCGGAGGTAGCTGTGACGGAGGAGCAGAGGACGAATGACAGAGCAGAGGACGAATGACAGCAGAGGACGAAGGACAGAGTAGAGGACGAATGACAGAGCAGAGGACGAAGGACAGAGCAGAGGACGAATGACAAGCAGAGGACGAATGACGAACAAGTGTACTAGTCATGTACTTTAAGAATACACACATCAAAGACGCAGTGCCACACGTCGGGCGCGTACGTCTTGACGAGCTCCACGTGCTCGACCCGCGCCTCGCGCCCCGTGACGCCCTCGCCCTCATCCCCCTCGCCCCGCGCCCAGCCGTCGAACCGGCTCTGTATGTCGGCGCGCCGTGCGTCAATGTCCCCTGTGGCGACATTGTCGTGCAGGTGCAGCCAGCTCGCCGGCGCCGCGCCGCGCGCCACAATCTCCCAGCACGGCCGCCACGTCGCCTCGCTCGTCGGCAGCAGCCCGCAGTTGATGTGCAGCACGTCGAGGGCGTCTCGCGACCGCCACGCCGCGACCCGCCTCGCCGCCTCGCCGTTGTCCTCGAGGAACACGACGATCCTCGCCCCCGCCGGCACGAGCTCCCGCGTCGGCCGCAGCAGGTCGCGGCCGCGCACCACGTGCACGTCGCGCCAGCCGTTGGCCACGGCGCCGCGCCGCAGCGCCTCGACGCTCCAGGGGTTGAGCTCCCAGCAGAGGACGCGCATGCCGAGCCGGGCGTACGAAAAGGTAAAGTAGCCGATGCCCGCGTACATGTCGACGGCCCACGGCGCCGCTGCCGTTGAGCCCGTGTCGGAAGGGAGCGGGACGGCGGCACGGTGGGGAAAGGTTGCCGTGGCGGCGTCGGCGTGAAAGGCGAGGAGGCGCGCCTTTTCCTTGACGTTGCCCCTGCTGAACATGGTCCAGCGCGGGGCCCACGTCTGCCAGATGCCGTTCTGCTTGGTCGAAACCCAGAACGCCCGCGCAAAGTCGTCGTGCGAGGGCAGGCCGCTGGGCGACGTGGCGGGGCCGAAATCGCCGTACAGCATCCGCAGCCCGCTTGGCGACCGGAGAATGTTGTCGCTGCTGGGGTCGCCTGACGAGTCGGACTCGACGAGCGGCGGGATGCCTTGGTTGGCCGCCAGATGCGTCAGAGGGGCTTTCTGCTTCTTGGAGAGTTCCTGTAGCAGGGCGTGCCATAGATCGTCGACGTGCGCCGGGTCCAGTGCAGGATGGGAGAGGAGAGCCTGCCATGCTGGGCTGTCGAAGCTCCCGCTGGGGAGGAGCACCATGGGTTCATAGATGGTGAACCGCTTGGGTGCTGACGAGAGCAGAGATTCCGTGTCAAGATGTTCGAGTGCCGCCGCTGACACGGATCGTAGAGTCGCCAGCCATTGCTTGATGGCGACGGCGATGGGATTTGCAGGTTTCGGTTTGGGGGGTCTGATCTTTTTGGGATCACCCTTCGCGTCCCTCATTGACATTGGAGGGTATCAAGCCAGGACGGATCATTCATGGGCCTCAGTGACCGGCCCTGTGTTCGTCGTCAAGGCAGGCCATGGGAGCTGGAGGCTCTGCGTGAGGTGAGGTTTGTCGGTGGGGTGGCCGTGGTGGGGTGCGAGGACCTGCACTACCCAAGGTAGGTACCTGTACCTAAGGTAGGTAGGTACCTACCTACATACCTTGGGTAGTATTCAGCAGTGGCAGGTACACTTTCAATTGAGTAGAGGCGTGGGCGGCAGGGGTCGGTGGTCCTTGCTCAAGCTCGACCGCCTGCCTCAAGACCCTTCTGCTTCAGAATCCTTCCGGCCTCACAGCGCTTCCGCCCCTTTCCCTTTTGGACGGCAAACCATCAAGGCCCTGCGATGGAAGCACCGTCCTCGAGAGCACTCCCGACAAGGGAAAGGGTGCCCATGACGGAGCACATGAACTTTCTCAGCGACGCCGCCCACCTCCTCCGCGCGACGGCCCCCGAGACGTCAGCATGGCTCATGAGCCGCAGCCACGAGCTCTCCCTCAGTGAAGGCCTCCAGCAGACCGACGTTCAACGCCAGCGTGCCTGCGCCGCCTGTGGACTCATCATGATCCCCGGCATGGGTAGCAGTGTCAAGATGGAAACAGACAGGACGAGCCCCAAGCGTTATGGGTCCGGCAAAAAGGCAGGCAGGAAGCGCAACACCAAGGTCACCGGATTGAAAAAGGTGCTGCAGTGTGGCCACTGCATGGAAAAGACGGTCATCAAGCTGGAGCCGCCCCCATCGGCCAACAGGAGCAGGAAACTGCTCAGACAACAAAAGACTCGGGCGGCCACCGAGACGCAGGCTCACGAGGCGACTGGTGCAGTGAAGACTGCTGGCAGTGGCAGTGCGTCCATGGCAAGCAGCAAGGCCTCGACACCAACACCGACAGCAACAACGTCGTCGGCCAACGCCAGCAGCAAGAAAAGGGCCAAGAGTCGCAAGGCAGGCCTGCAAGCACTGTTGGACCAGAACAAGAACGCCAAAGGGTCGCGCAGCCTCAGCCTGGCGGACTTTTCCATCAAGAGATGATGGCGAGGTACCTCGACACCCATCGGACGTGGAGCAGTACCTGGACTCGAATCTTCTCGAAGCCCCCCGCGGCGGCGCTGACTGACAGAGCCAGCGCGCCCCACACCAACCCACCAGAAAGAAGAATGCGGCCCTGCGTCACAGTCACAGGCAATGGAGGGGTTCAGTTGCCCCTCCAGAAAAATCAGTTCGCCCAAGTTGCGCGCGCCGCTGATTTGCGATAAGAATCCCCCGCCATTTATCATCACTTCTGAATACCTTGGACAAGACGCAGCCACCTTGGGCCACCACAAACGTAGTCCCATTTTTCTGTCTTCTGACGGCTGCTCCCTGGTACCGTTCCCATCGCAAACCCTCCAATATTCTTGTCCCACGCAAACATCGCAACCATGGCAGCCCCCGACAACAAGGTCACTCCCAACGAGTTCTTCCAGAACATCGGCCAGCAAGTCGACAACAGCAGCGAGGAAGAGCACAAGTTGGTCGAGGAGATTGAGTCTCTCTGCATGAACTGCCACGAAAATGTGAGCACCCCTTCCTCGACTTCGTCTTGCTCCCCAAGACGATCGCTCCCCATCATGAAAAGTAGTGACTGACAAATCCTTCCAGGGCGTCACCCGCATGCTCCTCACATCGATCCCCTACTTCCGCGAAGTCATCATCATGTCCTTTGCCTGCGAACACTGCGGCCTCCAGAACAACGAGGTCCAGCCTGCCGGTACCGTCCAGCCCAAGGGCACCTACTACGAGCTGCGCCTGACCGACATGGCCGACTTTGCCCGCCAGGTCGTCAAGTCGGACACGGCCACCGTCAAGTTCACCGAGCTCGACCTCGAGGTCCCGTCCGGCAAGGGACAGCTGACCAACGTCGAAGGCCTGCTGTCGACCGTCATTGAAGACCTCGAGTTTGGCCAGGAAGCTCGCAAGCAGCAGGCGCCAGACGTCGCCGAAAAGGTTGGCGAGGTCATCGCCAAGGGCCGCGCCATGCTCGACGGCTCCTCCTTCCCCTTCCGTGTGACCGTCGACGACCCCGCCGGCAACTCCTTCATTACCCCCGACCTCAAGGACGGTGTCGGCAAGTGGGAGAAGCACGAGTTCCTCCGAACGGCCGAGCAGAACGAGGCTCTCGGCCTCTCCGGCGAGAGCACCAACAATGCCAACGCCGACGCCACCATGCTCGACCCCAACCCCTCGCTCGATGCCGACGGCAACATCATCCCCAACGAGGTCTACAGCTTCCCCGCCAGCTGCCCTGGCTGCATGCAGCCCTGCACGACGCACATGAAGATGGTGGACATTCCCCACTTCAAGCAGGTTGTCCTCATGTCCACCGTGTGCGATGCCTGCGGCTACCGCTCCAACGATGTCAAGACGGGCGGCGAGATTCCCGAACAGGGCGAGAAGATCACCATTGCCGTGCGCGACACGACGGATCTGGCGCGCGACATTCTCAAGTCAGAGAGCTGCGCCCTCGAGTGCCCCGAGCTCGGCCTCTCGGTCAACCCCGGCACGCTCGGCGGCCGCTTCACGACCATTGAGGGCCTCCTGACGCAGGTCCGCAACGATCTCCACAACCAGATCTTCCAGGCCAATGGCAACAGCGGCGGCGGTGACTCGGTCGTGCCGGACGAGAAGGAAAAGTGGACGGCCTTTTTCGACGGCCTCGACGTCGCCATCCGCGGCGAGAAGCCCTTCACCGTCGTCCTGTCCGACCCGTTGGCGAGCAGCTACGTGCAGTCGCTCGTCGACCCGCCGGCGACTGACCCCCAGATCACGCGCGAGATGTACGAGCGCACCGAGGAGGAGATGGAGGACCTCGGCCTCAACGACATGAAGGTCGAGAACTACGAGGACAAGGCGGCCGAGATGGAGGCGGGCGACAAGCCCGAGGAGAAGACGGCGGAGCAGCTGCAGCACGAGCAGAAGAACGGCGAGCTCATGGACCAGCTGATCGACGCCAACCGGAGGTAGTGAGTGGGCGCAGCACGTGAATGACGACTGATGACTGGAACGGGCACGGTGGATTGGGAAGGTGATCAAAAGCGGCATTGATTTATACCAGAGGAACGAGGCGGTGGCAGCGATGGCGGCGATGGCGAGGAGGTTTAGACGTGTCAGGGGTCCGTACATAATTTGGCCCTCGAAAGGCCCTCGAGGAAGATGCAGTAGCATGCATGCCCACTATACGACTCCATTGTCTTATCGCTCATCTACTACGCAGTGCATCTATCGTCAATACCCAGCGCATCTATCGTCAATACCCAGCGCATCTACCGTCAATACCCAGCGCATCTACCGTCTACCACGCAGCACGTCTACAGCGTCTTCCACACAGGCAGGCTCTGCAGCTGCTTCACCGAGTCGACGATGCTCTTCTCGAGCCCGATCCACTGGATGCCCAGAATCTCGTTGGTCGCCGTGTTGTCGTAGCCGTACACCTTGTCCTTGGGCGGGAACTCGCCGCCCTCGACCTCGGGGCCGGGCAGCCTGTCGG